TTTGGTCACCTATAAATTAAAATTAAGTAAATATTTTTTATGATAATAAAATTTAAAACTTACAATTAGAATATTTTATCTTTAATTCATTTTCAACTTAACTTTAAATTTAAGATTAAGTTAAGCATTCATTATTGTCTTTTGATAGAATTTTATGTTATACGCAAGATAAACAGTTGTTTGAATTCGGTCCAAAACAGGATAAGCATCTAATATTACACATTTTACAAATATTTTATTGTTAATCTAAGAATTATCCTAATAAGCATACAGAACAAGTGTTGTCATCCTATAAATAAAGTGGAAAGTTACATCTAGTACATTAATTACTATTAGGCCCTTTACATGATTTACATTATGAGTTACACTATTAACATTAAAAAGTATTGTCAGAGTAAAAACCAATAGGACATGAGCTTTAGCATATTCCATCATAATAATAGCATTATTAGCAAAGTAATTTTTATGGATCATAAAGTTATTTATTTGTGCAAGTATCTACACATTTTCTTGCTTAAACATCCCATAAACATTTCACGCATGTTTATGATGAGAAATCATATTTAAATTATTAACCACAATTAGAGTATTACTAACAATCAGATGGGCTAGTACATTTAATGCATCCATCTTAGCATGTAATACATTAGTTGCTATTTTCATAAAATATAAAATTGTTTTCATATATTTAATTATATAGAGTTTGATAAGATTAAGAGGGATGGAGGTGAAAGGACAAGGAACTTTTTAAAAAATTTATTAAATGTTAAAAAAAATTTTTTTAAATTTACTCAAATAGAATTTAGAAAATTAAATCCCCTATTTTAAATTAAGATATGAATTGATAATTACTTATATAGCGATTAATTAATAGCGCAGATACATTTATTTTATAAAGCATCAACAATAAAACTATTAGGACATTAGGAAACACAAGTCTAATTTATGGTCTAATAAAATCCATCTTGGCAAACTTAGCAAGTAGTTTAAGATAAGCATTTTTTACAATTTTATGGACATGGCTAACATATACCTCCAACATCAATGAATGCGGCATTACAAGGGCACAAATTACTAATTATATCAATAAATTTTTATATAATTTTCTTTTATTTTTATTTTGTTTAAGTTCTATTTATATCACAAACACATTTATTTTTAATTGAATCTCCAGCAATTGTTAATGGACAAGATGAATAACAAAAATCATCCACATTTAAATAATATCCAGTCAAACAAACGGTACAACTTTTTTGTGAGCAAGTATCGTAATGTTGTTGAAATTATTAGCAAATTCTGTTTTTTTTATTCTTTAATGAAAGTAATTTATGTTCATGATATTAGATGCGTTTGTTAAATTTATTTTCCTAATTGTATCTAATACATTTCATAAACATCATGGCAGTTTGCTAATAGAATTATTACTTTACAACTGATATGACTTCTGTAACAACGTGCCCATTAATATTTGTAGTAAATCCAAACAAACATAATGTATATGTGATAAAAATAGAACATTAAAAAAGTAAAAAATAATTAAATTCATAAATATTAAATTAATATTTTTAATATTAATTAAAAAGCAATAAATGTCTTTATAATAGTGGCTTTATATAAATTCATAGTATTATTTATTCTCAAATTAATTATTTTTTGCCATAAAAAAAATATTTAGTAAAAATAATTACTTTTGTTGTGTTCTATTTAAGTCACAAACACATTTTTTTGAAGTAGAATCAGGTATAAATGTCTATGGACAACCAGAAACACAAATTTATTATTAATTCAAATAATAACTTTAAGAACACTAAGAACAAATTGCTTAGCTTGTACATACATCGCAGTTTGATGGACACTATTAACAATCACCATGTACATCTTCTATGTAACCTGTATTGCATGGACAGCTTTAGCTAACAATATTTAAAAATAATTAAATTCATTATCAATAAGAATAGATAAAAATCAGAATTTAGAAAATCTTTTAATTTTAAAGTATCTTTACTTTTTTAGTGTTCTATTTGTGCCACAAATACATCTTTTTGAAGTAGAATCAGGTATAAATGTCTATGGACAACCAGAAACACAAGTTTATTATACAGTCAAATAATAACTTTAAGAGCACTGAGAACAAATTGCTTAGCTTGTACATACATCGCAATTTGATGGACATTATTAACAATCGCCATTTACATCTATGTAACCTGTATTGCATGGGCAACTTTAGCTATGAATATTTTAAAAAAATTAAATTCATTTTCAATAAAAATAGATAAAGTCAGAATTTAGAAAATCTTTTAATTTTAAAGTAACTTTACTTTTGAAGTGTCCTATTTGCACCACAAATACATCTTTTTGAAGTAGAATCAGGTATAAATGTCTATGGACAACCAGAAACACAAGTTTATTATACAGTCAAATAATAACTTTAAGAACACTGAGAACAAACTGCTTAGCTTGTACATACATCGCAATTTGATGGACATTATTAACAATCGCCATTTACATCTATGTAACCTGTATTGCATGGGCAACTTTAGCTAAAAATATTTTTTTTTAAATTAAATTTATTTTCAATATGAATAAATAAAAATCAGAATTTAAAAAATATTTTAATTTTAAAGTAACTTTACTTTTGTAGTGTCCTATTTGCGCCACAGATACATATTTTTGAAGTAGAGTCAGGTATAAATGTCTATGGACAACTAGAAACACAAGTTTATTATACAGTCAAATAATAACTTTAAGAGCACAGAGAACAAATTGCTTAGCTTGTACATACATCGCAATTTGAAGGACATTATAAACAATCGCCATGTGCATCTTCTATGTAACCTGTATTGCATGGACAGCTTTAACTAACAATATTTAAAAATAATTAAATTCATTATCAACAAGAACAGATAAAAACCAGAATTTAGAAAATCTTTTAATTTTAAAGTAACTTTACTTTTGTAGTGTCCTATTTGCACCACAAATACATATTTTTTAAGTAGAATCAGGTATAAATGTCTATGGACAACGAGAAACACAAGTTTATTATACATTCAAATAATAACTTTAAGAACACTGAGAACAAACTGCTTAGCTTGTACATACATCGCAATTTGATGGACATTATTAACAATCGCCATTTACATCTATGTAACCTGTATTGCATGGGCAACTTTAGCTATGAATATTTAAAAATAATTAAATTCATTATCAATAAGAATAGATAAAAATCAGAATTTAGATAATCTTTTAATTTTAAAGTATCTTTACTTTTTTAGTGTTCTATTTGTGCCACAAATACATATTTTTGAAGTAGAATCAGGTATAAATGTCTATGGACAACCAGAAACACAAGTTTATTATACAGTCAAATAATAACTTTAAGAACACTGAGAACAAACTGCTTAACTTGTACATACATCGCAATTTGATAGACACTATTAACAATCGCCATTTACATCTATGTAACCTGTATTGCATGGGCAACTTTAGCTATGAATATTTAAAAAAAATTAAATTCATTTTCAATAAAAATAAATAAAATCAGAATTTAGAAAATCTTTTAATTTCAAAGTAACTTTACTTTTGAAGTGTCCTATTTGCGCCACAAATACATCTTTTTGAAGTAGAATCAGGTATAAATGTCTATGGACAACCAGAAACACAAGTTTATTATACAGTCAAATAATAACTTTAAGTACACTGAGAACAAACTGCTTAACTTGTACATACATCGCAATTTGATAGACATTACTAACAATCACCATTTACATCTATGTAACCTGTATTGCATGGGCAACTTTAGCTAACAATATTTAAAAAGAATTAAATTCATTGTCAAAACAATAACAGATAAAAACCAGAATTTAGAAAATCTTTTTATTTTAAAGTAACTTTACTTTTGAAGTGTCCTATTTGCACCACAAATACATCTTTTTGAAGTAGAATCAGGTATAAATGTCTATGGACAACCAGAAACACAAGTTTATTATACAGTTAAATAATAACTTTAAGAACACTGAGAACAAACTGCTTAGCTTGTACATACATCGCAATTTGATGGACATTATTAACAATCGCCATTTACATCTATGTAACCTGTATTGCATGGGCAACTTTAGCTATGAATATTTAAAAAGAATTAAATTCATTTTCAATAAAAATAGATAAAATCAGAATTTAGAAAATCTTTTAATTTTAAAGTAACTTTACTTTTGTAGTGTCCTATTTGCGCCACATATACATATTTTTTAAGTAGAGTCAGGTATAAATGTCTATGGACAACGAGAAACACAAGTTTATTATACAGTCAAATAATAACTTTAAGAGCACTGAGAACAAATTGCTTAGCTTGTACATATATCGCAATTTGATAGACATTATTAACAATCGCCATTTACATCTATGTAACCTGTATTGCATGGGCAACTTTAGCTAACAATATTTAAAAAGAATTAAATTCATTGTCAAAACAATAACAGATAAAAACCAGAATTTAGAAAATCTTTTTATTTTAAAGTAATTTTACTTTTGAAGTGTCCTATTTGCGCCACAAATACATCTTTTTGAAGTAGAATCAGGTATAAATGTTTATGGACAACCAGAAACACAAGTTTATTATACAGTTAAATAATAACTTTAAGAACACTGAGAACAAACTGCTTAGCTTGTACATACATCGCAATTTGATAGACACTATTAACAATCGCCATTTACATCTATGTAACCTGTATTGCATGGGCAACTTTAGCTATGAATATTTTAAAAAAATTAAATTCATTTTCAATAAAAATAGATAAAATCAGAATTTAGAAAATCTTTTAATTTCAAAGTAACTTTACTTTTGTAGTGTCCTATTTGCGCCACAAATACATCTTTTTGAAGTAGAATCAGGTATAAATGTCTATGGACAACCAGAAACACAAGTTTATTATACAGTCAAATAATAACTTTAAGAACACTGAGAACAAACTGCTTAACTTGTACATACATCGCAATTTGATAGACATTATTAACAATCACCATTTACATCTATGTAACCTGTATTGCATGGGCAACTTTAGCTATGAATATTTAAAAAGAATTAAATTCATTGTCAAAACAATAACAGATAAAAACCAGAATTTAGAAAATCTTTTTATTTTAAAGTAATTTTACTTTTGAAGTTTCCTATTTGCGCCACAAATACATCTTTTTGAAGTAGAATCTGGTATAAATGTCTATGGACAACCAGAAACACAAGTTTATTATACAGTCAAATAATAACTTTAAGAACACTGAGAACAAATTGCTTAGCTTGTACATACATTGCAATTTGATGGACATTATTAACAATCACCATTTACATCTATGTAACCTGGATTGCATGGGCAACTTTAGCTAAAAAATATTTTTAAAATTAAATTTATTTTCAATATGAATAAATAAAAATCAGAATTTAGAAAATCTTTTAATTTTTAAGAAATTTTACTTTTATGATGTACTGTTAGGCCTACAAACGCAGTTAGTGTTTGAATTATCTGGAACAAATTAAGGTGGGCATGTATGATTAAGGAGTTATTAAATATTTACTAATTTTTGAGTAGATCCTTAGAAAACCTAATAAGTGAAGGACTAAATTTAAATAAATAAATAAACTTAGTTGTATTTTTAGGTTTAAATGAAATTCTTACATATGAAAAAGCATAGTAAATAATATGGAAGTAAGGTAGCGTGAATGAGTTTTATAATGCATTCGAACTTTTAGTTATATTAACTTTGTTTAATGAAGAGATATATGTTAAAGTGTATTATGAAGTGCCAATAAAAATGATGTTCTAGTTTTTATTTAAATGAAATATATAAATTATATTTATTTTATAAAGTTGTTAAATACCTCATGCTACAAAAAGGTTTTGTAATCAATAAAAGGCAAAGTCTCTCCTGTTGATTATAATTCTGTTAAATTTTACACATTAAAATATCTAAAAGCAGTTATTAAGTAATCATATGCTATAATTATTGTGATCTATTTAAAATTTGAAAAATAGAAACAAATAAAATTTTTAGGAGTAAGATTAACGCTAATTATTTACATTTTGAAAATTTATTGCATCAGAAATAAGAATATTATCAATGTGACTAGGATTATTTAGTTTTACAGAACTAATATCTTGAAAACTTTAATCAGCAGTTTGCACTTTAGTAAGGTAATCTTCTATCAGATATAAGTTATATTCCATCTAAATAATTATTCATTATTTAATAAAAGATTTATTTGCTTAAATCATTAAAATCTATATGAATTAATCATTAAAATTGTAATTAAATATAGTTTATAATAAAAAAATATATCATTTTTTATAGAAATTAAGCATTAATATTTTTGGTAATAATCTGCATAGAAGTTTTAAATGGTTTTTATTAAAATTATAATTTTTTAGCTTAAATGAATTAATTTGAAATTACATTGACTAATACTATGTTTGTAGATGGACTAAATGAAATTTCTATGACATAAAAAGTTCCATTCATATATATATTGCTATCATAAACAATATGAGTGTTTTCATTACTAAGATAATCGCCGAAAATAATAGTGGGAGTAGTAAATAAATCTTAAAAACTTTAACTTTAACCAAAATATTTATTACTTTGATCAAAACATATGTAATAGTAAAATTCTCCCTTTAAAAAATTAATAAAATATAATTGTTGCTCATAACTTTATTTTTTATAATAGAAGAAATTTATAAAGAGATATCATTATACTATTTTTTAGATCTAAATTTAAGGTGTCGGACATGATTTAGCAGCTTATGGATATTAAAGAGTTTATAAATACCCAGTTTAACCAGATGTCATTAGATTTAAATCAATAGTGTGATACTATTGATTCTAGTAATAATTCAAGTAAAGTAAATTCTTTTCAAATCATTAAAAATTTATTTATGATTGCAATTTTAAAAAATTAATACATTTATGATAAAATATTTGGTCTTCAAGTCAATTTTTTGTAATCCATTTAACAAATAAGTAGCTGTAATAATTCCTTATGGATCAAGGGTACTATATCTGTAAGTAGAATTACTTGAGGCTTGGTAAATTACAGAGTGTGTTTCCTGTTAAATTTAAAAAAGTTTATTCTAAGTGCCAGTAGAAATAATTGCATTTTTAATATATATTATATTTACTTTTATAAAGAGGACATCATTTAATATTTCAATAGGTAAAACATCAGTAGCTCTTATTATGAACAACTAAATAGTATAAGCAATCAGTAGGATATTTGTTTTCATTGTTTTAATTATTTATATTTAGATATTTGTAAGAATTAATTATAATCTGAATATTAGTAATAATTCGATTGATTAAGCTTTTGTTATCTTTTGTGATCCACCTTATTTTTCCTTTTTATTATGTTTTAAGCGGTTGAAAACTGAGTGATTTCATAAAACTTTGTAATCTATATATAAATTAAATCGTTTTATAACTAATTAAAAATCCAATTTTTTTTTTTTATCTATTAATCTAAAGGGGTAGAGGGGGATAATTTTACATTTTTGATTACACTTAATTGTGTGAAAGTTTTTGGAAACTCCTTGAATCTATAATATCTACAAAAATGAGATGTAAATTGATAAATATTCTTTAATACTATTTAATTGGTCTTACAATATTTTGAATTTGTAAGCTCAATAAAACACCATTAATAATTAATTTGGATGGTTTGTTAATTTTTATTAAGTAAAACCTAATAATTAGAGAAATGTACAAATATAAATCTACAAATGGTGAAGAAACCAAAACAACCAAATTAATCTCAAAGTCAAACCTTTACTCTAGTTAGGCTTTTATTTATATTGTTTTTAAAGCAAGAAATACTATGATAGATGATAAGAATTAAACGTTTTTGCAATGATGATTTGATCTTTTCTTTAAAATTTATAGATAACTAGAAGGAAGCAATTATAACCATAAAAAAATTAAAAAAATTGTATGCTCTATTGATTTAATTATTAATTTATGAATACAATTATCTTGTAAGTTTAAAAATTGAATATCCATAAAAATAAATACTTGATTTGATAATTTAGGCTTACATTAAATTGAATACAGTAAAGATATTAATTTTGAAATTTTACTACTAACAAACTCTCTATATTTTTTAACTTGCTTTGAATTTTTCTCCAATAAAATAATCTCTTTCTATTCACTTACTTTTTCTTAAATTAGTCATCCTTCTTTCTTTAGAATTAATTTAACATTTTGCTTAATTACATCTCTAAGTTACTAGTTTTATGTCCTCAATATTAATCTAAAAAATTTCTTGCTACACAATGAACTAAATAAAAAAAATACCTTTCTTATCTTAAGTAAAACATTTATTTAAGATTATATTTTTCTGTAACAAAGTAAGATAAATAAAATATTTTCAAAATAGGATATTGAATAGTCTATTCATATTAAGTAAAGGTATTTGTAATTGTATAAAACAATTAAAATATACTTATAAAGTCTATTCATATTATTTTCTTTAGAAAATAGATATTGTTATATCAGTCTGTTAAAGCACTTTGATATATTTTCAATCCAAAAAATAAAATATTATATGAAATATTTATTTATTAATTAATTATGATTTTCTACGTGAAATTAATCATAACGAATGTTATAAAATTTGATTAAGTATGCCTTAAAATCTTACAGATAGCTGTAAAATTTGTTTTGTAATTATTTTTAATACCAAGAAATAGGATAAACAATTGTTTGAAATAAACTTCTGATTTGTTTTCCCAAAATCCATTAAAAATTTTCTATTATTTAGTTATTTATTGTTAGATAGAAAAAATGATTTGCAGAACTTAACCAATATAATAAAAGTATCCAAAAAGTAACAAATTGTTTCTTTGATTTATCTGTCAAACAAAATTCAAATTTGATGTTGATATAATATTAAAATGATTTTAATATTGATTTTTTTTTCATTAATAATATTATTTAAAAGTTAGAATCAAATAATCTATTATAAATTACTCCCAATTTAGAATGAAATTGATTTATCAGATTTTCATAGTTAAAATCTATCTATCAGAATCTTTCATAAAAGCTAATTAAAGAATTTTTTTATAAAAGAAAATTTTAAGCATAATAGTTTACTACTAAATATAAAGGAAGTACAATTTTTTCATAATTAAAAATAACTATATGAAATGATAAGCCATTGCATATTTATTATTTTTTTCTTTTCTTAAAGCATTTTTTTATTTTAAAATAATTGAGTAACATTTATATTAAATGATTATTATTAAGTTGTTTAAAAGTACAAAAAAAACTTATTTAAAAATAACTTAAATTCAATATAAATTAATATTATTTTTATTTTTAATTGCTTAATAATCCTCTTACTATAAATTTATGCCTAATTATTCTATATGTATTAAGAAATTTGTTAAAATTAATACTTTATTATCAGCTCGAATTTCTTATAGATAATTGGATAACTTTTGTTTAATTTAAAATAAATGTAAACATTCATGAAATAAATTTTTGTTATAGTTTAAAAAATTTTATTAATTTTATATTTTGAAGGAAAGACAATATGATAAACTGGCATGCTATCTTTAATTAATTTTTTCATAGTCATTAAATTAATTAGAATTGATCAATTTTTTACAGTACCACTTTAAATTAAAAAAGTCCTGTGAGTTGGTAAAAATAAATAAAATAAAACAAACAAAATAAGAAAAGTTTAAATTGCATTATGAATATTAAAGTTTTTTTGATAAAGTACCTTTCTTATGCTTCATTTTTTGCTGAACATTTTTAATTTCTAGAGGATATCATAAAATTTAAACACAAGATATACAATCATACTCAGATTTTCCTTTACATTACTTACGTTTGTAATAGCACTACTCACAGAATAAAATGTAATGGTTAAGTCATAATAAATTAATTAATATGAATAGTAGAAATCAAAATTTATAAGAATCAAACATTTCTAGAACAATAAAATTATTACAATTTTAACAAAAGAAATAAATATATTTATTGTTAAATTTTATTTAATATTTGAGAAGTATTACACTGAAATTTAAATTTCTATTTTAAAATCTTAGTTAGTTAGAGTATTAAATATTTTCACAATATTTTTTCTATTTTCATTGGTATATCATCGCAAAAAATTAAATTAAATTATGAAATAAAATTTTAATCACATACTCAGATGTTTTAAAATTTGAAAAATATACTTTAATCATTGTTTACTCAATAAAAGTACTCAATATGTAACTAAATATAATTATTTAACTTATGATAATATATGGTCGATCATTCACTTATGAATGAATTTGAGCTTTAATAAAAATTTTAACAAATGAAATAAATAATCAGATTAAATAATCGTATAATAGTTATAAATTTATTATTTTAATATTAAGATATATAGGCTTGGAAAAAAGAGTTGGACTCCATTAGAGTGTTTGATAAAAAATTCTTTTTTACATATAAACATGTTAAAAATTTATTGTTTTTTAGAAAATCATACCTTTGGTGTCCAACTGTTTTTTCCAGGCCTATATAATAAGAATAGTAAAGTTCATAAATATATTAAAAATAAGAAATGGAACGTTTATATAATATAAAATATATCAAACAAAGTTTAAAAGTACTTAAAAGAAATTTAATGAGAATAATATAATTTATAAGATTAATTAAACCAATTTAATGATACTTTATTAAATTTTATTAATAAGAATACTAAAGTTTAAAAATTAGAAAAAAATAAATAAATCACCTTATTGATGGTAAGAAATTATTAAAATATAAAAACCTTAGATAAGAGTTTATTCTATGAACGAAGCAAATTAAAAATAATAATTTATGAAAAAAGAAATCTAATAAATTTACTAAATGATAATAGAGAATCCAAAAAGTTAATAGTAAAGAGAGAAATTGATTGTATTTTTTTAAAGAAGAATAGTTTTAAAAATACTTTTTATAGAAATCAAAATAATTTGTTAAATTACTAATAAATAATAATTAATTAAATTCTAAACCTTATGATATATGATTTACAAAATTTATTTAAATCGATATAATTTGTATTGCTATTTCCTAGAAATAACCCTTTCATATAAGATACTATATAATAAAGTGTAAAAAATGCTTTATAAATGATAAGATTTGATGTTGTTGTAGAATATTAAGAAATATAAAAAGATTCTGATTTTAATTTTTATATGAAAGTGATTGATTATTACCAGAAATTATTTCTTCCCATTAGCAAAATAGGTTTTTTTCTTGAAATTTGAAAAAAATTATTTCTTATAAATACTCTGAAAATATAAAATAATTTAATAAATTCTAATGTTAAAATAAGATACTTTTTGAAAAATATTTTAGAAAGCAAAATACGTATACTTATTAATACAAAAGATTATGTAATTTCCCATTTAAGACTGTAAATAAATTTACCTAAATAATTTAATACAAAATCTTATAATCATTCATTCATTAATTACTTAATGTATAGAAAACTTTACAATTGAAAAATAGATTATTTATTTAATAAATATTTTATTATTTTTTTTATTTAAAAATGAATGAAAAATCAATGATTATTAAGCCTATAGAAATATTCTTTTTTATTCATCAATTCATCATATGTACCCTATTCGACTAACTTTCCTGATTCAATCACATATATTTTATCACTATCTTTTATTGTTGATAATCTATGTGCTATACATACTGAAGTTTTCGCTTTCATTAATTAGTCTAATGCTTCTTATACTATCTTTTCGTTCTATGGATCCAAAGCACTTGTTGCTTCATCAAGAAGTAAGATGTTTGGATTTTTAATTATTGCTCTTGCTATGGCTATTCTTTATTTTTATCCTCCAGAAAGTTAGCTTCCTTTAGGACCTACTTTTCTCTAAAAACCGTCTCCTAGCTGATTTTTGTTTTCATTTTTCATTTAATTTTCTTTATCTTCATTTTTTTCTTTAGTCTACTCGTCATTTTAAAACTCCTCAATAAATTTCAAAGCATTTGCTTGTTGTGCCGCTTATTTAATGTGCTCACAAGTTATATTTTCAGAGTTGTATTGGATATTTTCTTCTATAGAAGCATTGAAGAGTATTGGCTCTTAACTCACTACACCGAAATTCTAGCGATAATTGGTCAAATCATAGTATTCTTTAATATTTTTACCATCTACAAATATTTCACCTTCATAGTTAGTGTAAAATCTCAACAACAACTAAATTACCGAAGATTTACCTGAGCCACTTGGTCCAACAAAGGCCACTTTTTAACCTGCTTAAATCTTGAATGATAAATTTTTGAAAACATACTAATCACGAGATGGATATTTAAATGAGACATTTCTAAATTCAATGTTTCCTTAAATCGCTTATTCAGTTTGTTAAACTATGGGTTTTAAATTATATTGTTATGCTTGCTCCTAACAAATTTAAACTTCATCTTTTTAATTTAAAATGTCAAAGAGATTATTTGCTGAGTTTATTGCCATGGCAATATCTGGAATATATTAGTTATTAAATCCAATTCCAAAAGCAGCAAAAAGAACAGAAAAAACAGACACAAACATATCCTTAGCACTGACACCGTAATCTTATGTGAAAATAGAACCACAATAAAGTACAATACCATAAATCCAAAAGATAAGAGCAAAAGACAAACCAAGAAAAACACCAGAGATTTAACCTTTTGATTTAACTAATTGAAGTGGTTGGACTAATTTTTCAGATAAAAAGACATTGAGTTTATTTTCATTGCAAAAAGAAGCCACAGTACGAATGTTAGTCACACTTTCCATAATGATCTAACCTGCTTCTTTGTATGCTCCATCAGAATTTTCACTATATCCTTAGATAAATTGAGCTTAAAACTTAGCACAAATAATCATAAGAGGAGCAGCAACCATTCCAATAAGAGTGATTTACCAAGAATAAGCAAATCCTAAAGCTATACCTACTCCCATACAAGATAAGTTTTATATTTGAGTTGGTATAATGCTAGAAGTGATCTAGTTTATATATTGTCCATCTTGTTAAAGCTTAGTACTTAAATTACCAGGATTATTGTCAGGTTAATCAAACCAGGAGCATGGCATCTTGAGAAGTTTTGAGTAAACTTCTTTTCTCATTCTTAAAGTTAAGCCTTCACCAACTCTTTAATTAAAAAAATATTATTAGATTAAATCAGAATGCTATATAAATATAAGATTACCTTGTGAAAAATACATTTTAGAGCAAATATCCTATTTGACATACAACAGCAAGAATGACGAAGTAAATAGCAAGCAAATCTGCTCTTTCTCTAAAATCAGATTTTGAAGGATCAAATAAAACATCAAAATATTCTCCTAAAAGCAAACCACTAACAGGCCAAGAACCACCATTAATAAAAGCAACTAAAAGTCCAAAATAAAGATAATTAATTTCAGGCTTATTAATAGCAATTAATTTCTTGATGAGTTGAATATTTGTGTATTTAAACTTTTTATCTGATTCCAAAGGATCAGATTATGTTTATTTATTTTAGCATTCTTAAGTAATATTTTAATTTTTAACTGACATGCTCAATTTTTTTAAAGGTATTTCTTATAATTCTTAAGGAATCTAATTTTGCAAGCGATTAGTACTTTCTTCTAAATTATTTAATTTCTAATTTTATATTCCAGAAATTGTCTATTTCTTTTACAAGCTCTCATTATTATTGAGTTCTTCTTATACTAATTCAATGTCATTATTTAAGTCAGAATTGTCTTCCAATTCTTTTTATATTTGATTTTTTGCTAAAGCTTCAAATTTTCCTCCAGCATTTATTAAAGAATCGTAAGTTCCTTATTCAATCAACTAACCTTTTTCAATAACAAGAATTCTATCTGCGTTTTAAACAGTTGAAAGTCTATGAGCAATAACAATTGTTGTCCTCCCCTTTGATATTTCATCCAGAGTAGCCTAAATTGCAGCTTCATTTTTTCTATCTAAAGCACTAGTAGACTCGTCAAGCAACAATATTTAAGGATTTTTCAAAATAGCTCTAGCAATACAAATTCTTTATTTTTACCCTCCAGAAAATTGGCTTCCCAAATTTCCTACAAAAGTATCAAGTTTATCATCAAGCTACTAGACAAACTCCCATGCCTTAGCCTGCTTGAGAGCATTTATCATTTCTTCTTCTGTCGCATCTTCTTTTCCGAATCTTAGATTTTCTCTGATAGAAGTTGCATATAAAACTGGTTCTTATCCTACATATCTGATATTTTAAAAATTAATTAATTAAATATAAAGCCATTAAAATTAAATTTTAAAAATCAGAGATTTATTTAATTAATAATTACCCAATATTTTTTCTTAACCAAACGAAATCAAGTTCTCTAATGTCATGTCCATCTACAGTCACTAACCCAGAATCAGGGTCATAAAAACGCTCGATAAGTTACATGACTGTGGACTTTCCACAACCAGATTCTCCAACTAGAGCTGTTTTTATATTTGGCAGTATTTCAAGAGTAAGTTTGTTATGAACCTTAACATCTTTTTTAGAAGGATAAGAGAAATCTACATCTTTAAGTACAATATGACCTTTCAATTCTTTAATTATCTTTGGGTTTTCGCAATTTTTAATCTAAGGTGTCCTTTTCAATAAATCAAATATTTTTGCTGCTGCTTGTTATCCAAGAGAGAAATTCTTTAGGCATGGAGCAGCTTAACCAAGAGAAAATCCAGCTTTTATTAAATAATTATAAAAGAATTAATAAAGGTACTAGTAATAAATGCTTTGGGTTACCAATTTAAATAGCAAAGAATATTGTTTAGATATCGCCTTAATTATACTTACGATCAAAGTTATGATTAATAGTTTCATCTTCCATTAACTTAGAACCATACCAAAAACAGAGAGAATAATCCAAGTAAAGAGTTAAAAATGTCAAGCCCAGTCCAAAACCTGCCCAAACAGCGTATTTTGTAGCTATTTTGAATGAAACTAATAATCCTTAGGAATAATTTTTAATTTCAAAATTTTCTCCAGCTAGCGATTTGACAGTTTTGATAGAGTTAAGACTTTACTCCGCAACTGCGCTAGCATGAAGATAAGCTTCAGAAGTTTTAACTGAAGTTTATTACAATATAATAGTAAATATTAATCCTCCTAGAATGATAGCAGGAACAGCTGCGGTTGCAACTAAAGACATTTACCAGCCATTATAATATCCAACACCAAAGCCACCTAACCCTGTAAAAATGGCCATCAAAAATGTAGGTACTTTCTCTCCAATAGCTCCTTAAATGAAAAAGCAATCTTAAGATATTTTACTTGTAAGTTCATTAGGATTTTGCATATCAAACCAACCAATTTCTTATCTAATAATAGCTTTGAAGTATTATTTTCTACATTCAATAGCTTATCTTTCCCCAGAAATCATCCAGCATGCCATTTAAATCTGAAATTATATTATTAAAATGATAAATTAATTCGAAATTAGACATTAAATTAATTTACTTACCCAACTACATACAAATGATATAAAACCAGCTCCTAACATATAAAAGCATTATATCTTAGCATTTTCAATAATTTAAGATTAATCTTAATTAGAACTAAATTAATTTGTAGTTCTTCCTATAATCTAAGACATTAAAGGTTAAAGAATACCATTAACAACAGCTGCAATAGACCCAAAAACCATAAGGAATATGTCTAGCTTTGATGCAAATCTGAAAAGCTCAAAGAAGCCAGCAGGTTTCAAATTTGTAGTTTCACTCATAATTACTTCTTTAATTATTTTATTTTTGGGAAAGTGTTAATGTTTGAATAAATTATTTAATTATAAATTTTATGATCATTAATATTTATGCCAAATTATTATAGATTAGTACTAGTAAATATGCACATGGTTACAAAATTTAATGTGATAAAAATAATAATAAATTCTTTAGATTCTTTGAGAAATTAAGAATATATTTAGGAGATTACAATTAATTAAAAACCATAAGATTTTTTAAATTAAAATATATGATTTTAGCAATTGTTTTTTAATTAGATTTATCCTTCTATTTTAAACTTAATTAAAAAAAACAAATATTTTAATAAAATATTATATGTTTGGAATCACAGTAACCTCAATAAAATTTAAACTTTATTGAAGTTTATATTTTTTTTAGAATGATATAAATAAATATTTATTTAAGTACAAAAACATATAAAAAAATTAATAGACAATTTACTAAATTGAAAAATTAAAATAGAAAGTTAAGAGTAAATGCAAATCAAAATTCAAAAGAATTTAAAATTTCTAAATTTCTAAAGAAATTTCTTAAATAATTTGAAAACAAATATTTAAATTATTAAAGAAAAATCTAGATTTTATTTCTCAATAATCTTAAGGAGGGAGATGATATCTCTTTATTTCAAAATTTTTTATTGATGGATTTGTTTGTCGCTAGAGATTTTTCAAATAATTTTACTTATATTTTATCATCCCTCCCCCTTAAAGAATTTGTATAATTAAGGAATCAGAAAAAAGATTTATTAACCTACAAATAATTACTATAAAAATCTAAAAATAATTTGTTGCCTCACTCTATTAAAAAATGTAATCTTTTCTATCTATGTATTTCTTATAATAAATTCTTTTAAATTAATTCAAAATATAAATAAATAGATAACATTTTTCAATAATAATTTTCATTAACACACAAGTATTTATTTATTTATTTAAGACTCACATTCATTAAAAAAATATTTTTATAAATTTGCTTATAATTTTAATAACATTTTAAAGTTTGGTGTTAACTTTATTTTATAATATTAAGCTAATTTTATATTTTACTATAGATTGATTAATTTGATAAATTTAATATTGAGAATTAAACTTCGTAACCTCAAATAAATTCTTATAATTAAATCTTGCATTAATTTTGTAATTTTAATAGTAAGGAGTTAAGATTCTTTTTACTTTTTAAAATAGATAAAAAAATACATTTAAATCAAAAGTAAGTATCTATCTATCTGCTCATTTAAAATTTTAATCTTTCATTTACTTTTCTCTTAATAATTCAAAACATTTTTAATAATATTTAGTGAATAATCTATCTATGTAAACTTACTTAGGATATTAAAACAAATTATATAACTGTTTAAGTATGTATTTATTCATTATTTTCACAATTAATAATATCAAGATAAAAGTACCTGAAGTATTATAATTTTATTATTTATGCATATCGAAAACAATTGAAATTTCATAATTTGCAACCAACAATAAACTCGATATATGATAAATTATAATTTCCTATTTTTATTAACTTGATAAATTTAATATTGAGAATTAAATATGTTAACCTCTAATAAATTCTTGTAATGAATTCTTCCTTTAATTTTGTAATTTTAAAAGTAAGAAGTTAAATTTCTTTTATCTATTTAAAATAGATAAAAAAATAGAAAATATATCAAAAATATAGTACTAGTTTAAACTTTTAATCTTTTTACTTTTGGCTTAATTATTCAAAACATTTTTAATAATATTTACTGAATTATCTACCTTTCTATCTATGAAAATTTAGGATTATAAAAAAATAATATATTTGCTTAAATATTCTTTATTTTCAAAATTAATAATATATAGATAAACTGCTAATTTTTTTATTTATACATATTGAAAATAATTAAATTTCTTAATTTGCAACAATAAATTCAGATATATTATCTATCATTTTTTATTTCCTATTTTATAAGCCTTAAATTATCTTATATCAGATTCTTTTTTATCATTTTAAAATTTAGTTAGCTTTTAAGAACAAGGTAATGATTTATATTTAATCCAAGAATATATTATTAATAAAGATATATATTATTATGGTGTATATTGGTTGAGGTTCCAGTATTGATATACCTCTATTAAATTATAAAAAAGAAAAAAAACTAAAAAATTTGTCTCAGTATAAATTGGTTTAAATTATAAAGAATTACAGTAAATATGAATTCTTACAATACATGTAAATGTTTTATAAATTCTAATTTTTAATTAGATTACATACAATTCAATGATTATTAAGTCTAAAAAAATATTCTTTTTTATTCATTAACTAATCGTAGGTACCCTCCTCGACTAATTTTCCTGATTCAATTACATATATTTTATCACTATCCTAAATTGTTGATAATCTATGAGCGATACATATTGAAGTTTTCTGCTTCATTAATTTGTCTAATGCCTCTTAAACTATTTTCTCATTTTGTGGATCTAAAGCACTTGTGGCTTCATCAAGAAGTAAGATATTTGGATTTTTAATTATTGCTCTTGCTATGGCTATTCTTTGTTTTTATCCACCAGAAAGTTAGCTTCCTTTAGGACCTACTTTCCTTTAAAATCCATCTCCTAGTTCTTTGTTATTTAAATTCATCTAATTATTTTCTTAATTTTGAGAGTATAATTTAGTTTTTTCTTCACTACCGTATTCCTCAATAAATTTTAAAGCATTTGCTTATTGTGCTGCTTACTTTATTTGATCACTAGTAACATTTTCAGTGTTATATTCAATATTTTTTTGTATTGTAGCATTGAATAGTATTGGCTCTTAACTCACAACTCCAAAATTCTGACGATAGCTTTTCAAATCATGATATTCTTTGAGATTTTTATTGTCTACAAATATTTCGCCTTCATAGTTAGTGTAGAATCTCAATAAAAGCTATATGATTGAAGATTTACCTGAACCACTTGGTCCAACAAAAGCAACCTTTTAACCTGCTTAAATTTTGAATGAGAGATTTCTAAAAATATATTAATCTCTAGATGGATATTTAAATGAAACGTCTCTAAATTCAATGTTTCCTTAGATTGTTTATTCATTTTGTTAAACTTTAGGTAGAAGATTTAATTATAATGCTTATTCTTAACAAATTTGAACTTCATCTTTTTAACTTAAAATGTCAAAAAGGCTATTTGCTGAGTTAAAAGCCATTGCAATATCTGGTATAAACTGATTGTTATATCCAATCCCAAAAGCAGCAAAAATCACAGAAAAAATGGACACAAACATTTCTTTAGCACTTAAATCGTAATACTGTGTGAAAATAGAGCCACAATAAAGTATGATTCCGTAAATCCAAAAGATAAGAGCAAAAGAAAAGCCAAGAAAGACACCAGAAATTTAACCTTTAGATTTGACTAATTAGAGAGGTTAAACTAATTTTTCTGATAAAAAGGTGCTTAGTTTCTTTTCATTGCAAAATGAAGCAACAGTACGAATGTTAGTCACACTCTCCATAATAATCTAACCTGCTTCTTTGTATGCTCCATCTGAATTTTCACTATATCCTTAGATAAATTAAGCTTAAAATTTAGCGCAAATAATTGTGAGAGGGGTAGCAACCATTCCGATAAGAGTGATTTACCAAGAATAAGCAAATCCTAAAGCAAGACCTATTACCAAGCAAGATAAATTTTGTATCTAAATAGGTATGATGCTAGATGTGATCTAATTTATATATTGTCCATCTTATTAAAGCTTGGTACTTAAATTACCAGGATTATTGTCAGGCTAATCAAACCATGAGCAAGGCATCTTAAGTAGTTTTGAGTAAACCTCCTTTCTCATTCTTAAAGTCAAACTTTCACCAACCCTTTAATTAATAAATAAATAAAATAATATTAATTTGATAAAATTAAATTTCTTAATTAAATAACCTGGAAAAAATAATAACTTAAAGCAAATTTCCAATTAGACACACTACTGCGAGAATGACAAAGTAAATAGTTAGCATATCTGCTCTCTCTCTGAAATCAGATTTTGAAGGGCCAAATAAGACATCAAAATATTCACCCAAAAGTAAACCGCTGACTGGCTAAGCAGCTCCATTAATCAAGGCAACAAGAAGTCCAGCATAAAAATAATTAATTTCAGGTTTATTTATTGCAATCAATTTCTTGATTAGCTGAATGCTTGTGAATTTGGGTTTATTTTTTTATTTTTTACCGTCTTTTTATGATTATCCTAAATCAAATTCTTCACTATCTACTAACAATTTTATTTTTTTTTGAGATTATTCTTATTACTCTTATGGAATTTATTTTTGCAAGCGGTTTGTACTTTCTTCTAATTTATTTTATAATAAAGGTGCTGCTTGTTTGAACCTTTAACTCTAATTTTTAACTTCTCCTTTTTCTTATTCCAATTAATTGTCATCATAATCATCATTTTAGTTTGAATTGTCTTCCAATTCTTTTTGTATTTGATTTTTAGCCAAAGCTTCAAATTTTCCTCCTGCATTAATTAAAGAATTATAATTTCCTTATTCAATCAACTTTCCCTTTTCAATGACAAGAATCCTATCAGCATTTTAGACAGTTGAAAGCCTATGAGCAATTACAATAGTTGTCCTCCCTTTTGATACTTCATCCAAAGTTGCCTAAATTGCTGCTTCGTTTTTCCTATCTAAAGCACTGGTAGACTCATCAAGCAAAAGTATTTAAGGATCTTTCAAAATAGCTCTTGCTATGCAAATCCTTTATTTTTACCCTCCAGAAAATTGGCTTCCTGAATTTCCTACATAAGTGTCAAGCTTATCTTTTAATGGCTGGATAAACTCCCAAGCCTTAGCCTGTTTCAGAGCATTTATCATTTCATCTTCTGTTGCATCTTCCTTTCCAAATCTCAAATTTTCTCTGATAGTTGTAGCATATAAAACTGGTTCTTATCCTACATAGCTAATATTTTAAAAATAAATGCAAAATATTTATAAAAATTAACAAAAATTTAATTTTAAATTCAAAATTCTATTTTTTTTTAAATGTTTACCCAATATTTTTTCTTAACCAAACATAATCAAGTTCTCTTATATCATGTCCATCTACAGTAATTAATCCAGAGTCAGGGTCATAAAAGCGCTCAATAAGTTACATGACTGTGGATTTTCCACAACCTGATTCTCCAACTAGAGCTGTTTTCATATTTGGTTGTATTTCAAGTGTGAGTTGATTGTGAACTTTCTCTACTTTTTTTGATGGGTAAGAAAAATCTACTTCTTTGAAAATGATATGACCTTTCAATTGATTTAATATTTTTGGATTATCAGAGTTTTTAATTTAAGGAATTCTTTTCAATACATCATAAATCTTTGCTGCAGCTTGCTGTCCAGAAGAAAAATTTTTAAGACAAGGAACAGCTTATCCAAGAGAAAATCCAGCTTTGTTAATAATGAAAAATTATTTAGGAAAGAATTTACAAATAAAATGAATGCTTTAAGTTACCAATTTAAATAGCAAAAAATATTGTTTAGATATCTCCTTAAGTATACTTACGACCAAAGTTATGATTAATGGTTTCATCTTACATCAGCTTAGAGCCATACCAAAAACAAAGAGAATAATCTAAGTAAACAGTCAAAAATATGAGACCAAGTCCAAATCCTGCCCAAGCAGCATATTTTGTAGCAATTTTAAATGAAATTAAAAGCCCTTCAGAATAATTTTTGATTTCAAAGTTTTCACCTGTAAGGGATTTGACAGTTTTAACCGAGTTAAGACTTTGCTCTGCAAAGGCGCTAGCATGAAGATAAGCTTCAGAAGATTTAATTGAAGTTTATTATAAGATAATTGTATAAATTAATCCACCAATAATGATAATAGGAGCAGCTGCTGCAGAAACTAAAGACATTTGCCAACCATTATAAAACCCAACTCCAAAACCACCTAATCCAGTAAAAATTGCCATTAAAAATTTTGGAACTTTCTCTCCAATAGCTCCTTAAATGAAGAAACAATCCTAAGAGATCTTGCTTGTAAGTTCATTAGGATTTTACATATCAAACCACCCTATTTCTTATCTGATAATAGCCTTGAAATATTATTTCCTGCACTCAATAGCTTGTCTTTCTCCAGAGATCATCCAGCATGCCATTTAAATCTAAATTCAAAATTAAAATTAAAATAATAAATTTTAAAATAATTGAAAGAATTTACCCAACTACATATGAATGATATAAAACCAGCTCCTATCATATAAAAGCACTATATTTTAGCATTTTCAATTATATAGGATTGATCCTAATTAGAGCTAAATTGGTTTGTAGTTCTTCCTATGATTTGAGACATCAAAGGTTAAAGGACACCATTTACCATAGCTGCAATAGCTCCAAAAACCATAAGGAATACATCTAATTTTGATGCAAATTTGAAAAGCTAAAAAAAACCAACAGGTTTTAAATGAATATTTTCACCCATAATTATTTTAATTCTTTATTTGTTAGAGTAAATTTAGTTGTCTATTAAGTATAAATTGATTATATATTTTTTAGATAATTAATTAACCATATTTTTAAACTACTAGAGTGAGGTTATTATATTACAGTAATTACAAATATTTAAGGAAAGTAATGAAATTAAATCTACAAGAATCTAATAATAAATTCTTTTGTTTTCATTTTGGATTATTAATTAAACTATTTAGTTATTTTAATAAAATTGCAAAAGAAAATAAATACATTATTTTTTAATAAAAATTGCTGATCAAAGTGAACTTAGAGTAGAATTTTTATTTTACTAAAATATTTCATTAAGAAAAGTGTATTCATTTGAATATTTAAAATATGATTATAATGAATTGACATTTATATTGTAAACTGTTTGTAACCAAAAATTAAGCAAAGATACTATCTTACTTAAGAATTAATTTATTGATGAAATAGAATGTTAAATGTAAACTATAATAAAATTCATAAGTTTAAAAATAAAATAGATCTTATGTAAATGTAGCTAAGGAATATTAATTCTTTACTAAAAACCTTCTATAACTATATTTTATTTTCTGTGTAAGCTCTTTTAATATTAAGATACCTCAATTTAAAATAAAGAACATTAAAATTCAAACTTTTTTTTGAAAAAAGTAATAATGTGTTTTAACTCTTAAAAAACTCAAAAAATATTTTACTTTTAGCCACCAAATAAATTTAAAAATATATATTGTGAGAGAACAACTTATTAAACTAAAGCTTTTTAAACATTTTAGGGAAAAAATTAAATTTAATATGGTCTTTAGTAAATACTTTAACTTAACTTAATAAGGAAAAAAAAAATTTATTTAAGAAATTCATAGCTCATTCGGAGAATTTCTAAGAATAAAATCTTATAGTTTACTTTTTAAATAGACAAAATAAATAGTATTTAATTAATTAATTTTTTAAAATAAATATAAAAATACAACAACAGAATATCTGAAATTTACTTAAAATATCATTTTTATTTTATTAAAAAAATATTTACAAATATTTTCTAGCTATTAAGAATAGATTTTAATTTTAAAATAAATTTTATTTTCTTAGTATTTATCCTATTTTAGAATAAGAAAAAATCTGAATCATAAAATATTGGTTTATCTTTAAAAAAATTAAATCTGTACTATAAATTTATTAAGATAAAATACTCTTCTGTTAATTTATGTAAACTCTAAATGAAAAAGAAATATTATAACTTTATTTATTTATTTAATTTTTTCAAAAATAGACAAATTAGTATAAAATGAAATGAGGTAGTTAATTAATTTTATTTTATTTCCTTAATTTATTTATCTGCTATCTACTCTTTAATTTTTATTGCAAAAAATATTAAAAGCTCGAAAGAAATATTTTCAAAAATCTAGTTTTTTGCTATTAAAAACAAATATTTACAAAGTATTCTTTGATTTTTACGTGTAATAAAAATACAATTAATTATACAAGTTAAGAGCTTAGAAAATAACTATATTATATTTATTGATCAGCATGTACTTAATCTATAGAAATATTCTTTTTTATTCATTAATTCTTCATATGTTCCTTATTCTACTAAATTGCCAGATTCTATTACAAATATTTTGTCACTATCTTTGATAGTTGACAATCTGTGTGCAATACTTATTGATGTTTTTCCTTTCATTAATTTATCTAAAGCCTCTTAGACAACGATTTCATTCTGAGGATCTAAGGCGCTAGTAGCTTCATCCAGAAGTAAAATGTTTGGGTTTTTAATAATAGCTCTAGCAATAGCTATTCTCTACTTTTATCCTCCTGATAATTGGCTTCCTTTAGGGCCAACTTTTCTCTAGAAACCACTTCCTAACTTTTCTTTTTTTTAGTCTTTGGAATCTTAAAATTCTTTATTTTCTTTAATTTCATCTTAAACACTTTCTTCAAATTAATTTTATTGAATAAAATTCAAAGCATTTGCTTGAGAGGCAGCTTATTTAATGTGTTCTTGAGTCACATTTTCTGAATTATATTAAATATTTTCTTCAATTGTAGCATTAAATAGGATAGGTTCTTAGCTAACAACTCCAAAGTTTTGACGGTAGTTGCTCAAATCATAGTATTCTTTTAGGTTTTTGCCATCAATAAATATTTCTCCTTCATAATTAGTGTAGAAACGAAGCAGAAGCTATATCAGAGAAGATTTACCTGATCCACTAGGACCTACGAAAGCTACCTTATGACCAGCTTTTATTTCTAAGGATAAATTCTTGATTACATATTGCTCTCGAGAAGGGTATTTGAAAGAAACATTTCTAAATTCTATGTTTCCTGAAAGAGCTTGATGGTTTTAGATTGCAACTGGTGAAATATTTAATTTTTAAGCTTAATTTTGGCAAATTTGAGTTTCATCTTCTTGATTTAATATGTTAAATAGGTTGTTAGCGGAGTTTGCTGCCATAGCAAAATCAGGCATAAATTGGTTGTTGTTTCCTATACCAAAAGCAGCAAAAAGTACTGAAAATACTGACACAAACATGTCTCTTGCACTAACGTCATAATCTTATGTGAAAATAGAACCACAGTAAAGTACTATTCCGTATATCCAGAAAATAATAGCAAATGATAGACCCATAAAAACTCCTGAAATTTAGCCTTTTGACTTAACAAGTTATAAGGGAGCTTTAAGCTTTTCAGATAAGAATTCATGAAGCATGTTCTCGTTGCAAAAAGAAGCTACAGTTCTGATATTTGTTACGCTTTCCATAACAATTTAACCTGCTTATTTATAGGCTCCGTCAGAACTTTCACTGTATCCTTAAATAAATTGAGCCTAGAATTAAGCGCAAATAATCATAAGTGGAGCAGCAGCAACGCCAATCAAAGTAATTTACCAAGAATAAGCAAATCCTAGGGCAATACCTACAGCAAAGCAAGAGAAATTAGAGATATAAGTAGGTAATATTGTAGAAGTTATTTAGTTGATATATTGTCCATCTTATTAAAGTTTAGTACTTAAATTACCTGGATTATTATCTGGCTAATCAAACCAAGCACAAGGCATCTTCAAGATTTTAGTATAAACGTCTTTTCTTATTCTTAAAGTTAAACTCTCTCCAACTCTAAATAATAGAAAATTTGATATAAATTTTATAATTAAATAAAATTAAATTTACCTTGTGAATAGCACATTTTACAAGAGATATCCAATCTAACAAATAACAGCAAGAATTACAAAATAAATAGCAAGCATATCAGCTCTATCTCTGAAATCAGACTTTGTTGGATCAAACAATACATCATAGTATTCTCCAAGCAATAAACCACAAACGGGCCAAGTTGCTCCATTTATAGAGGCAAAAATAAGACCTAAATAAATATAAATTTATTCAGGCTTGTTAATTTCTAAAAGTTTTTTAGCAAGCTAAAATTTAGAATATTTAATTTTGACATCATTTTTAGCATCATCTGAGTTACTCTGTTTTAATTCTTGCTTTTCTTGTTAATCTTATTAATCTAAGTTTTTTGAGATAGCAACCATTTCAATATTGTTTTTTTCTTGAGTCTTATTTTCTTCATCATTTCTAGAATTTACTTTATTTTCATAAATTTCTTTAGGATGCTTATTGGTTTGTTCTAAATTTTCTGTTTAGTTTTGAATTGCTTAGCTTTAATCCTTAGCTTCTTCTTCTGTCTCCTTTTGGATTTGATTTTTTGCTAATGCTTCAAATTTTCCTCCTGCATTTATCAAAGTGCAGTAGTTTCCTTCTTCGATTAACTAGCCTTTCTCAATAACTAAAATTCTATCAGCATTTTTTACAGTAGAAAGTCTATGAGCAATTACGATGGTTGTTCTTCCCTTCGAAACTTCATCGAGAGTTGCTTGAATCATAGCTTCGTTCTTTCTATCTAATGCACTAGTAGCTTCATCAAGTAAAAGTATTTAAGGATTTTTTAATATAGCTCTTGCTATACAAATTCTTTATTTTTATCCTCCTGACAATTAGCTTCCTAAGTTTCCAACAAAAGTGTCAAGTTTATCTTCAAGTGATTATATAAATTCCCATGCATTAGCTTGTTTAAGAGCATTGATCACTTCCTCTTCTGTAGCATCCTCTTTACCAAATCTTAAGTTTTCTCTAATACTTGTGGCATATAAAACAGGTTCTTATCCAACATAGCTTTATTAAATTAAAAATTTTATTAAAATTGTCTAAATTTTCAATAATAAAATATATACCCAATATTTTTTCTAAGCCAAACAAAATCTAGTTCCTTTGTTTAATATCCATCAATAGTAACAAACCCGCTATCAGGATCATAAAAACGCTCTAATAGCTGCATAACTGTAGATTTTCCGCATCCAGACTCTCCAACTAAAGCTGTCTTTTAATTTGGTAATATTTCAAGAGTAAGTTTATTGTGTACTTTAATATCTTTCTTTGATGGATAAGCAAATTCAACATCTACAAACTTAATGTGTCCCTTCAAAGTATTTATTACTTTAGGATTTTCACAATTTTTAATCTCAGGAACTCTATCTAAAAGCTTGAAAATTTTAGCAGCGGCTTGCTATCCTAGTGAGAAATTTTTAAGGCAAGGAGCAGCTTACCCTAGAGAAAATCCAGCTTTATAAACAAAATTTAAATTAAAAAATTGTATTAAAAGCTAAATAATTTATTTTAAAAATAAATTAAACAAAAATGAAAAAAAAAATGATTTTTTTTTTAAATTTGAATTAAAAAAAATATTTTATATTAAAATTTACCTATTTAAATTGAAAAATAGATAATTTGGACATCTCCTTAATTATACTTGCGATCAAAATTAGTATTAATAGTCTCATCATGTAATAACTTTGAACCATACCAGAATACTAGTGCATAATCTAAGTAAAGAGTTAAGTAGCTCAAACCTAGTCCAAAACCAGCCCAAACAGCATATTTTACAGCTATTTTAAATGAAACCAATAATCCTTAAGAATAGTTTTTAATCTCAAAATTTTCTCCTGTTAAAGACTTAACAGTTTTTATTGAGTTCAAGCTTTGCTCTGCATAAGAGCTTGCCTAAAGATATGCTTCTGATGTCTTTACTGATGTTTATTGTAAAATAATAGTAAAAATCAAACCTCCAAGTACAACAACTGGGACAGCAGCTGTTACTACTAATGACATTAACCAACCGTCATAAAATGCAACACCAAATCCACCTAACCCCATAAATATTGCCATCAAAAATGTGGGTACTTTTTCTCCAATCGCTCCTTATAAAAAGAAGCAATCTTATGAAATTTAACTTGTCAGCTCGTTTGGGTTTTGCATATCAAACCAACCAATGTCTTATCTGATAATTGCTTTAAAATATTATTTTCTACATTCAATCGCTTATCTTTCACCTGATATCATCCAGCATGCCATTTATATCTAATTTTAATTAAATTTAAAGTAAAAAAAATGTTTTGTATTTTTTTTATTTATTTATTACCCATCCACAGAAAAAAGAACCTATTCCTATTATAACCATATAAATACACTGATTTCTTGCATTTTCAATAATAAGAGAGGAGTCTTCGTCAGAACTGAATTAATTGCTTGTATTACCTATAAATTAAGCTAATAAAGGTTGAGCAATTCCATTTAATGCAGCTGCAACAGTACCAACAGCCATAAGCATGTAATCAAGCTTAGTAGCGAATCTAAACAGTTTGAAAAATCCTACTGTTTTTATTTCAGTATTTTCTGGATTCATTTTATAAGATTTATTTTTTAATAACTTATTTTTTTAATATATTTTTTATAAAAATCTTTAGTTTTATCAATCATTATTAAAAGCTCTGTTCTAAAATTTGAATAAAGAAAAGTTTTTAATTAAATAGGAATATTCAGATAATATTAGCGAGAATTTTATCTTATTAGATTGAGAGATTACAATATATTTTTGATAAAATTAATTAACTAGAGTAAGTTTCTCAGTGTAGATTAATCAGACAAATAAGACCAGTAATAAGACCTGTTTAATTAATACAAAATAGGTTAAATACTAATAATCCAAAAAAATGTCTTACACTAATAATATAATAAAAATAAATTTATTTTTTAAAGAAATAACTTAATAAACTTTTTATAATTTTGAATCCTATTTTGATAAATCATTTTTATGATTTAAGAAAGCTTATTAATTTTTTTTTTTAATTTATGCAAAATGAAAAATTATAATTAATCATATAAGTAGACTCTATAATTTATTAATTAAAAGAAGTATAAAAACGAAGAGGAAAATAAGTATTATTTATAAATTAGCAATGCTTGTAACAAATTGCCTTTGGAAATTTATAATTTTATTATAAAATTATAAGAATTTAAACAATTTAAAGTGGAAATTTAATATAATTAATAAAAATCTATTTTTATACTGAGAAAGTACAAAAAAATAGTTGTATTTTATTTAAATTTATACTCATAAACTTAATAAAATTAAGTAGACTCTTTTGTTTTAAGATAGATAAGATAAATTAAAAATAAATTGTAAGTAAAATACTTAATTTTTGAAATTATAAAAATGTAGTAGATGATTGATTTAATGATCTGTTAAATCCTAATTATTATTCTTATCTGTTTTTGTTAAAAAATTAATTTTTACTATTGTACTTGAATTTTAGAAGTTAAACTTTTTAAAAAAACTTAAAAAATATGAAAAAACATACATTTAATTATTTAAAGATTATTTATTATATTCAAAATTTACATGGAAGTAATATTTTTATTATTTGAAAAGTTAAATTTATTTTAAAATAAACAAAATATTTGATTGAAGTATAAATATAAATTATTGTGAAATAGAAATAACAATCTAATTTTTGATAAAAATACAATTAATTTTGATGATTTGTAGACTCTTTTATTTGTTTTACAATAGACAAATTAAATGAAAATCGAAATTAATAAGTTTAGAAATTTAGAAATTAAGAAAATTAGAAAAATAAAAAATACAAAAAATTTCACTAATTCTCACCAATTCCAATTTTAACGATTTTGTTGATAATCAATTTATTTCAAATTATGAAGATTAGTCAAAATTAATTAGGATTTTATGTATTTCATTAAATTAATAGTTATAATCTTTAATTTAAACTTTATTAAGTATAAATTCTATTTTCTATTCCAAAGCTAATTTATTATTTTTTATTTTTGTTTAGGAATTTATAATAAATTGTTATATTTTGAATTTTTATTTTATATTATTAGAATTGTATTGTACATGATTGATTTAGAAATATTAAATGTATTTTATTTATATTTCAAGAATACATTTTATTTCATTTTAAGTATTCATTTTTATTTTAGATATCGATTCTTAAAATTAGTTATTAATCAAATAAAAAATAAATATTATATAAAATGTAAAGTATTTTGAATTCAAAAATGAGATTATCTTTATTAATTTCCAATTACTTCATGTTATTTATATATAATTTATTTGAAAGATTTAGTATGTTGTAAACAAGATAAATAAAAAATATAAAAAAGGTATATTTAGAAGAAATACTATTTTATTCAATAATTATTGATAGTCTTTCTATTTGTTTGCTCTATAGTAAAATTAATTTTTATTTTTTTTTATGAATTTCTCATAATTTTTATGAAGTGTTTTTAAAATACTTTTTACTAACATTTCTTTTTTAAATTAAATTAAAATCAAATAAATTAATTTTTTTAAATCAAAAATATTTAGGAAAAAAAATAATATGATAATTAAATGAATATTTTCAACATAAATTAATACTATTAATAGTCTTTCTATTTTTTTTTTGGAGTGGGTAATTTAGGGTTGAACTTGATTAGGTAATTTAAATTTTTAAATAATTTCACAACATAAACATAAATATATCACTTATATTATTAATATATTTCTTTATAATATCCTCTAATTTTTTATAATTAAAATTCTGCTATGTCTATTTCAAATATTATGACAGAGAGTTAAAAGTAATTAAAAATAGCATTAATATTTGCATTTGAAATATTTAATATTTTAATTAATTAGAAAATGAATAGCAAACTTAGAATTATGCATGCAACTAAGTTAAATAATGTTTGATAAGAATTCATAAATTGATCTTAATTAGAAAGAAAAATTAATGGGTGTGAAAGCATCAGGTAAAAAGATCAACCAACAAAATAAATATATGATTAGCAAGCAATGCCTTAATGACTTGGGCTTGTATATAATTACATTGTGCCTTAAAATTTATAATTAACAAATGTGTTTGAGATGATAATTTTAATATATTATTATTATTATTATATATTTATAATAATTTCGCAAAGATATTTACATCAAATAATTTTAAAGAATATAAACTCCTTGCAAATTAGTGTAATAGAGTGAGGTAGAGTTTTATTTTAGAGCAAACAAAAAATAACTAACTATAAAGCATATGGCAGCAAAAGCTAATTAAAAAAGCAAGGTTAATACTACTTGGATGGTTCCAGATACTCCAGCTTGGATAGAAGTTGGAAAGGAAGAACCAGAGACGAAGAAAGTTTTTATGAAAGCGACAATTATTGATATAAATAAGGATAAAACATAAGTAAAATTAACAAAAAAAGAAGATAATGAGGCTATTCCTGATGAAGTAAGTGTCGAGAAGGTATATCAAGTAAATTAATTGCCTGAAACCGGATTTTCGGATATGGTAAGAATGGATAACCTGAATGAAGCAGAAATTATAAACAATTTGGAATTAAGATATTCTAAAGATATTATTTATACTTATATTGGGCCAACATTAATCGTGATGAATCCATATAAATATATAGAAAGTGCTATGAGCGAACAACTTTTACTTATGTATTAAAATGAGCTTATTAGTAAAGGATTTATTGATTAAAGGGAAACTCCTCCTCATACATATGCAGTAGCTGGATAAGCTTTTAGTAAACTGTTTGAGAATATGAAAAATCAAGCAATAGTAATTAGTGGAGAGTCAGGTGCAGGAAAAACAGAAAATGCAAAATTAGCGATGAAATTTTTAACTACAATGAGTCATCATGATTCAAATACAGTGATTAGGATTTCAAAAGGAGGTAATTAATTTTAAAATAAATTTGAGTAAATTTCTTAAAACTTTAATGGAATTTACAAAATATATTTCTCTGCTGCTTATTATTGAGAAATAATGAATGAAGTCTTAACTACATATTACATACGATTAATTTTCCAATTCAGAAAGAAGTTTATTAAAAGTCATTCTATAAATTAAAAACTATTACTTTATAACAAATTATTCCTACCACTATTTAATATTTTTATTGCTTATTAATATATATATATATATTAATAGAGTCTTCCATAGAAGATAAAATATTGAGTTGTAATCCTATCCTAGAAGCGTTTGGAAATGCTAAAACTGTTAGAAATGACAATTCAAGTAGATTTGGTAAATATGTCAGTATCTTAGTTGATAAAAAGTCGCATAAAATTCAGGGAGCTTCCATAACTAATTACTTACTTGAAAAAAGTAGAGTTACTGTTTAGGGATAAAGTAAAATAAAATTCATTTCTCAATTTATTTAATTATATAGCCATGGATTATTTTTTATGATCTTAAATCGAATATATTCACTTTATACCTAATTTATGCAAATAAAATATTTAACTTAATCATTCTCACAATAAATTTGATTATTTCTTAACTTAAATATTGATAAATTTCATTGTTTGTTTTTGAATCAATTTATTGTTTTTTTTATTCTTATAATAGATGAAAGAAATTATCATATTTTCTACCACTTACTCAAGGGTTGTTCTGCTGCTGACAAGAAAAAATTAGGTTTAGTGGATCCAAACAATGGATTACCTTTTGATCCAGAACAATTTTAATATTTAAAAGATGGCGGATGCTATGAAGTTAGCACAATTGATGATTATGCACTATACAATGAAGTTTAAGATTCTTTTACTAGGATGAATTTTTCTTAACACGAGAGAAACACTATTTGGAGGATTTTGTGTGCTATTTTACTTTTGGGAAACATCAGATTTGATAAAACAACTCTCACTGATTCAAAGCCCTGCAGTATTATTGGGATTGACTTCTCTAAAAAAGTAGCAGATTTACTTGATATGTAATATAATATATTGGAGAGATGTCTTCTTATTAAAAGGCGTAAAGTTGGTAATGATATTACTGAGTCACCACTTAATGAATAAGATATTTATGCAAATAGAGATAGCTTGGCTAGAACTTTATATGATAACCTTTTTACATGGTTAGTTAAGAGATTAAATCTTACTGTTCTCCCATCAGAATTGTCTGAAAAATAGCTTCAAGAATAATGTCTCTCAATAGGATTACTCGATATTTTTGGTTTCGAAGTGTTTAAAGTGAACAGTTTTGAGCAATTGTGCATCAATTATACTAATGAGAAGCTATAGCAGCTATATATTTCTTACGTCTTCAAATCCGAAGAGTAGGAGTTTATCAATGAGGGACTAAAAGATCATATTGGATAGCTAAGCTACACTGATAATTAAGAAGTTATTGATTTGATGGATAAATATCCGAAAGGTATATTTGATCTCCTTGATGAGAGCTCCTCTCTCGGATCTTCGACTGACTAGCAACTATTTTAAAAAATATGTTCTACCCATAAATCTTCTCAATTCTTTATCCTTAATAAGTCAAGCGCAGTAAAAAAACTAAATATTTTAATGTAAATAGTAAATGATATTTCTTTTATTTAAAGGATTCTTTTGTAATCAAGCACACAGCTAAAAATGTTGAGTATTGCATAAATAATTTTAGAACAAAAAATAAAGCTGAAATTAGCTAAGATATTATTGATACTGTACTGTCATCAACTAATGAGTTACTTGGAGATATATTTTTAGGTATTTTTTAAAATTTATTTTTATAATAAAAATAAAAATTATTTCGATTTTTTTAAAAAAAAGGTCTTGTTGGTGAAGAGGTTAAACAAAAATAATTTATTATTAGTTAGCCTAAAAAGCCTTCAAAAAATGATAAATTTTTAGGAGCAAAGTTCAGATTTTAAATGAAGTAGCTTATGGATGAATTGATGAATGCTGATTGTCATTTTATTAGATGCATTAAACCAAACGAAGTTAAGAAAAAAGATTACTTTTTACAAGGATATGCTTTTATATAAATAAGATATTTAGGTGTCCTAGAAGCTATTTATGTTAGAAAAGAAGGATTTCCTTATAGGTAAAATTATTTAATTTAATAATATCTTTGACAACCAACATATTGTTTATTAAAAATAAGAAAAAATTTTAAAGACTTGTACACTTAATATGGAGATATGGTCAAAAAATTTAGAGGAGTTTCTCTGAAGAAATAAATAGAATAGAAAGCTAACTTTAATTAAATAAGTGAAGATATAATAGCTTAGCTTTTGCCAAACGTAGATAAGAAGAAATTACTTTATGGTAAGACTAAGATTTTTACTAAGGATGATGTTGGTAGAGAATTAGATGAATTACTTCACGTGTGGTTCCAAAAGAAAAATGATTTTGCTAAGCACATTCAACACTAATTTAAAGTTTTTAAGTTTAAAAAAAATATTCTGGCAAATTTGAAGAGATTATCTAAAATTGTTAAATGCTTCAGACGCTTAGCTGCGATGTATAAAATGAAAAAGCAAAGAAAGAAATTCTTATGCATGAAGGCATCTGTGTTTAGAGTCAAAGTTATTAGAGTAAAATTATTTAAGAAAATGGCTTTTGGAATTTGGAAAGATTTGATAATTGAATAACTGAGAAAAGAAAGAAAGAAAAAGAGCTTAGCTTTAATGATGAAATTATTTGACTATCATATTAAGAAGAAAAACTTTAATAACTACAAGGCTAAAGTATAATCAAAGAAAAAGTAAATTTAGGATTAGCTTGAAAGAGAAGCAGAGATTAAATAAAAATAGTTATAAGAGCAATAAAGGTTGGAAAAGAAAAAGAGAGAATAAGAAGAAAAGCAATAAATATAACTCTAGCAATATCAGACTCAAGGAATGGAAATGTGTGTCAGTCCTGATACTACAAAAGAAATGACTATGAACACTGAAAACTCTAATGAATATTCAAATGAAAAAAAATCTAATGAGGAAAACTCATTCTAGATGGATTCTCTAAATTAATCATTAAATATGTCATTTGTTGACTAAATTCCTAATCACGATAAAATGATCCATGAAAATCTAAAAAGAGGTACACTAGCTCATCGAATGACTAATTTAATTAACCAGAAGAAAATAGACCAAAGAAATATGCAATCAAGTGATACTTTTGATGATGACAATGACGATAAAGAAACTTCCGTTATTGACAACTATCTAAACCCAGAGTAATTAATTAATTAATTCATTTATTTTTTTAATAATTTAATTTGGAGTTTATATTTTTTTATTAATACTATTATTATTTAAATATCAAAAACCTAAATAAACGTTTTATGTTTAAAATAGATAAACACCTGAAGAATTATAAGGATAAGTTAACATTGACAAAGTTTATCTTTCACAAGACTGCATGTTCAATATATAAAATATACAAGAATCTCTTAAATAAAGAATATTAGAAAACGACTACATCCAATTTTGTAAAGACATTTACAAAAAGAGAAGTAGTTGGGGAAGGACTATTCCTTTTGAAAAGTAGGGTTTCCATTAAAAAGAACCTCTGAAAAAGCCTTTAACCAATATATCACCTCTCTTAGAACCAATTGCAATAAAAGCATTCACGAGAATACTAAAATATTCAGAAGTTCTAAAATCTAAAAGAGATTCAAGGGTATAATAAATATATAAAAAAGAAAGTATTTTTTATAATTTTTATTAATAAAATAGATGCAAGCTTATAAGCTTTTAGAATTGTGCTTTGATTAAGATAGCTCTCTGCAAGATGAGGTTTTCTTATAAATTGCTAAACAATTGCAAACTGATGATCTAAGCTTAAAGAAAAAATACTATTCGTTAATGGCTATTTATTCTAGCTTCATTAGTACTAGCTCAAACACTATATATCCCCTATTAAACTGCTTCTATAATTTAACATTAACTGAGAAAGATGAAATTAATAAATAAAGATGTAAATTTATTTTCACAAGAATAAGAAAATGCTTTTAATCTCCAAGGTAATTAATTTATTAACTCATTCAAAAAAGCATCTTCTTATAACATAAATCAATTAATGTCATATTGAAAAAAGATTTAATTTTAAAAAAAATTTTAATTTAACTTAAACAATTTATTCTTTTTAATATAAAATCTAAAAAAATGTTTTAAATGCTTAAAAATAAACAAAAATTAAAAAAATTTAATCAATTAAAAAAATATTTTTATTTTTTAATGAATTTTATAAAAAAAACAGAGTTTACTTGCCTACTAAACAAGAAATATAAATGATTGAAAACAGAAAGAGTATTATGGTTCCTATTTATATTTATATTAATCGCTGTATTTTTATTGCTGTAGAAAGCTATACTGATATTAGTAGCGCTATTAGTTTTGCATTAAGAGAATTAGAAATAGAAACAAATTAGCGAAACTACTGCCTGATTGAATAAATTACTATTGAGAATTTAGACTCATAAGATGAGAATAATAAAGTAATAATTGAAGAGAATATTTTAGGAGATGACGAAAAAATTATGGATATTTATAGCTGTTGGGAGAATGAAAAAGACTTAATTAAAAAGAAAAAATTAAAGCAAAGCTTTTCTGCAAAAATTATATTTAAAATAAAAAACTTTTTTAAATTCAATAAATACGACATAGATTCAATATTCATGTATTTCGCTCACTGCTGTTAAGATTATTTAAATGGCAGATTTGTTTTGTAAGATAATGTAATTGTTAGATTGGCTTTACTTAAGCTCATTAATGATTATAACAGTATCTAAGAGGCTTAAAAAATCCTTAAAAACGTTAAACTGAAACTTCATGAATATATTCCTATCAACGAAAAGTCTGAGTCTTTGATAAATAACTGGCAAACTGCTGCACTTTCACTTTGCAATAAGATACCTTAATGTGATTCTTCTTAAGCTAGGACTCTATTTTTAAATACACTTAAAAAGCATAGCTTTCTTTTTATGTCTCACCAATTTGAATGTCATTTTTACACATCAGATTCTTATTAAAGAAATTCCTTTGCTTAAAATAGCACAGTAGAAGAAGCTATAGTTGCAATTAAGCCTTTTGAAATTCTAATTTTAGAAAAGTAATCTAAAGACATAATTGACTAATTTAAATTGAGTGAAATTGTTAAATTTGGAAAACAATCTTAAAATAGAATAACTATTATTTTAGGAGATACAAAAACATTCCATTTTCAATTAAAAGATGCTGACCCATATATTTAAATCATTAATTAATATATTAAAATGGCTCTAAGTCCTGTGTGAAATTAATACTCAAATAAATCTATAAAAATATTTCCTTAATAATATTGTAATTTATGTAAATAATTTAAATTTTGTCTCTATTTGTTCATTTAAAAATTAAATTAAATAAGAAAATTAATTTAATAAATAAATTAAAGAATAAAATAATTACCAATCAAAAATTTAGATTTCACTAAAAACTTAATTGGAATATTTTTAAAAATAATAAGGTAAATCAGAAAATAATTTTTTAATACATACATAATCTTTAATTTAATTATGTTTATTTAATTATTATTTAAATAATTGCTAATAAATAGCGACGATTATTTTTTAATATTGCAAAGTACTATAGTAGCAAGCACAAAATAAATTAATTTATGCTTATAGAAAAATTAGAAATATCAAATAATTTTCTTTGAATAAAATATTTATTTTGTGATTAATTACATTACTTTACATATTTAATTCAGAAAAGATTTTGGATCGATTTTTAGATTATATTAAAAGTATGTTTTAGTTGCAAAAAGATTTTGAAAAAATAAATAAATAAGTAACTATCACAGACTACAAAACTATAAAATCAAAAAATAAAAAATAATATTTATTAATTTATTTATATCTATAATTTTAATCTAATTCATTAATTTTTATTTTTTAGGAAAATATTTTTATTTAGTTTTTAAATATTATTTTTTTCAAATACAAAGAAAGAAAGATTAATTAACTCAATCTTAATTATAAAAGCTTATATAAAATAAGTATAAAAGATTATTATCGTTCAATTATTTTTTTTAGAAAATAAATTAGAAAGGGTAAAAAAAAAAAGAAGATGATTGTTAACAAAATTGAGGAGCTCTAAAATTGCTTAAATTGCTAAATATTATAAATTGATCTGGAGTAAACCTTTATCAAAAATTTCTAAAATAAAAATATTCTCTTTTAAAATATTTTTTATTAAAACTCAATAATTTATTTAAATCATATTTATTTATTGAAACTTTTGTTAAAGATTAAATTTAAATATAAATTAATTATAAATTGAATGGCTAACTTTATTAATTTATTTATTTATATAAATAAATTTGCAGTAGAAAGTAAAATATTTTTATAAATAATTTAAAATTTTTATTTTGAGAGATAACTTATTCAGCTTAGATTCTGAATTAGCTAAACTAACAAAGCTCACTAATTTAATTCTCTATTAACAGTTATAAACATAAAAATGAAAATTAAGAAATGATTTTAAGATATTGTTTAGCTTATATTTTATACTAAAATATAATTTTTTTTCCTTCTTTTTATTTTATTTGTTTTTAATTTTCTTATATTTTACTTTTTCTTTATAATTTATAAAATTATTTTCTTAAAACTAAAAGGAGAAATAGAATTTTTGATGAAGGAGTTATTACCTTAGGTTCTCAATTATCAAAATTAACTAATTTGGTTAATTTAAAACTTACATTAGAGTAATATATATAATCAATTTATTTATTATTTTCTTAAACATATCTAAGAAAAACTTAATCAATAAAAAACTAAATAAATATATAAAAATGTCCTTAATAAATTTTAGAAACATATTTTAGGAGGAATTTTTTTCAAAAATTAAAAAAAAATATTGCAAATTGTAGAAATAGGTATTTAATCAATGTGTGTGTGTTTATAGATTATTAATATCTCCATAAAAAATAATTTAAATTGCTAAAAAATATATTAATTAATTATAATAAATCTGAATAACTACATAAACAAATGTTTTCTCATTAAGTTATTCTATTACTAATTATTTATTACTGATTATTTTCTATCAATAAGATACTATTCTTTCAAATATTTTTAATTTATCAAACTCTCTTAATTCTTATAAAATTTTATTTTATTAAACAAAGGAGAAACAATATTAGTGAAAGGAGCATTTATGAATTAAGTAATGACTTAACAAAATTAACTAATCTCTCAACTTTATCACTAAATTTCAAGTAAATTAATTTAAAATCTATTTAGTTTTTCAAAAAAAAAAATTATATAAAAATTAAATAAATATTTCGAAAAAACTAAAAAAAAAAAACAATAAAAAATAAATATTTTAACTCTGAATAAAATTTTTTTAATTAATAATATAATGAATCATTGCTTTAAATTGAGCTGATATTTTATTAATTAATAAAGTGAAAATAATATAACTTGTAAGGGAGCAGCATATTTAGTATAAGGATTATCTAAATTGCCTAATATCTAAATATTAAATCTTTAACTAAGGTAAATAAATCAAACCAATTTATTTCATTTTTATTTATCTAAATAAAATCAAAATTTAAAAAAATACAAAAAATTAATTAATGATGATTTCAAAATTAAATCAAAAAGAAACTAAAATTTTATTGTTAATTAATGAATAAATTAAAATTTTTTATTAAACTTTATTTTATTCTATTGGTAAACTCTTATTGTTAAATCTATTGAATTTTTTTAAATTAAATACTAAATTTTTTTAAAATTAAATTAAATACTATTTTTTATTCATAAAATTTAACCTTTTTTTATAATTATAAGAAAAATTAATTTGCGTAATGAGGGAGCATTTGTTATAGGCTCTGAATTATGTAAATTACCAAATCTGTTAGCTTTGAGTATTTACTTAAGGTAATATACTATTTAAATTTAATTCAAGTTTTCAATTGTTAAATATAGCTTAAATTAAAATTAATTAATTTAATTCTTATTCTCTTTTTTTACTTTATTATCTAATTTTCATTTTTAATTCATTTTCTATTTTTATGTATTCTATATTTATATTTCAATAATTGGCAACTTAAATAATAAAGCTCCAATTATATTGATGGTGAAGGTGCTACTGCTTTAAGCTCTGAGTTAGCAAAACTAACTAACCTCTAATCTTTGATAGTTTACTTATCGTAAGAAAATATTACTTACTTATTTATTTATTTAATTTTTTGAGGAAAAAGAAGCACATAATTCAAAGTTTATAAAGTTTATGAAAAAAAATGTTTATTAGAGAGATTAATAATTATTGAATAAAATATATAAATTTTCATTTAAAAACATAATAAATTGCTCGAATTTTAATATTTTATTTGATTAACATAATAAAAATGTATTTAAATTTAATTTAGAGTGTTTCTATTTTAAGAATAAAAATTAAAAATTTTGAATATTTAATAATAGGTATAACTAAATCTAATAGCAATATAAGAAACAACTAAAAAGAAAGGCTTTTAAGCTTAAGAATTTAGTCTAGTGTGTTTTTTACTTTTGAATAAAGTTAGCTAATAAATAGTAAATAAATAAATAATTATGATTTAATTGATTGTCCAATTATTCAGAAGTTTTACCTTTTTATTAAAAGAGCAAGGTTAATTTAGTCTCAAGCAGTATTTATTACTCATTCATAATTTCACAATAAGCAAATTTATTTTTATATTTATGATTGATTATGTTAGTGTTTTAAATTCTATATTATATAAAATTAATAGTATTATGTTTTTATCTTTAAAAATGATAATGTAAATCGAATAATTTTTTATTTTTTAGAAATTAAATTAATAATTTTATTAAAAGAAGTCATTTTTTTTAATTGTTATTTCTTAATTAAATTAAATTTAAGGTAAACTAAAATTCTTTAAACTTAATTTTATGTTTTCAATTATAAAGATTATAATTATTATTTATTTTTTTTAAATGTGTTTGTTTGCCTTTCCCTAACTTTACTCTCCTTTTAAATTTAATAAAAAACTTTTTTCATGAGACTTTTTTGAAAATAGTTAATGGGGGTATTGTAAAAGAGGAGACTGATTAAAATTCATTTTTGAGAATCTCGCATCACCTCAGTCTTTTTTAATAAATTTGAATTTATATGACATATAATATTGTTTAATTATTGATTAATTAAAAATTAGTATTATTAAATTAAATAATTTTTAATAAATTATAATAGATATTAATTTTATATGTCAGATTGAGTATCAAACAAGAAACCTTCTTAATCATTTTATAAGGAATTGTTTTAATCAGTTAATTTTTGAAGAAAAAGACAAATGTTAAAAATTTATTATTATTTTTTCTTTTTGAATAAACAAATAATAAATTTATTTTTTTATTTTTTGAGTAGAATTTTAGCTTTTCTATTGAAGTTATCATTGAAAACTTTTTAATTTTAAGATAAAAAATTTAATTAATTAATTAATTATCTTATCTTGGCCTATTTTTTAAATAAGCTGTTTTTAAAATAATTTATCAAATTTTTGGATATAAACTGTTATATAATTATCATATGCATTTAGACAGATTTTTTATTAAACTCACATATTTTAATTAAATTCATCAACAAGTTAAATATGAGTTATTATTATTTTATGAAAACAACTATATAGTTCAACTGCAAACCTGTATTATGTGTTTTCTAAAATAAGCTAATTATTTTATAACTCTGCTATATTTTCATAATTTGGATAATTTGCTACTTTGATCATTTTCTATGCTAAGTGGATCCTCACTTCTATTTCTTTATCGATATTTTTTTTTGTTCCTTCAAATACATCTTTTCCTTTTACTACCTTTGTTATTGTATTTAAATCTCCTCTCTCATTATAACATATTGTATTATATAATTTTTAATTATCTTTATCTTGTTCTTTGATAATACCTATTAATAAAAAGCTATTAGGATCAGAATTTGTTTATAGTTTAACTCTAAATATATACTTCTAGTTTGGATCCAAGATAAAATTTGCATATGAAACACCATAACTTGAATCAATTGATTAAGTTATTTAGATTTCTCTATTTAACAATCTCTATATTTATAAATTTTATGAAGAACCATATGATTTTGATTTTTCAAATTCTATGTTACCAATATTATTATTACTAAAAAAGTCTATATCATCAATTAGATTTAATATTTTTTATTAAATTTAATTTGGAATTGTTAAATCAACTTTATTTATGATTTTTTAATATTCTGCAATACTTTTTTATAATTTATCTGTATTTTCCTTAATATTTTAGTATTTTTTTTTAATTATTTCTTTTATGCTTTGTTCAGAATCTTCTTAGTGTTCTTTTAATAATTATTAAATATCAAATTTAGATGATACTTCGTTGTAAATCTTTAAAAATTTGTCTCCTTAATCCTAGTTTAGATTATCCATTTATGAAATAAGTTTTTACTTAACTTGATTTTGAAGTAAATCTATTTTTTAATTGATTTATTTTTTCAGAGATGTGAAGTAATTATTAATTTTTTCAACAAAATACTCCTAAATAGAATTAGCTTTTTAAATTTATAAGTTTTATATAATATTATAGATTTTTTCATCTTCTAAAGGAGGAAAACTTGAGAAAATGTGATATTAATCTGCAAATAAAAATTCATCATGGTCTATTATTTTATAAACATCTTTAGTTAATTTTTTTGCACAAACTAAGCAAATTTTAGTGTGAATATTATCTTCTTCAAATAATAAAAAATTATTATTGAAGTTTGGATGAATATCGCATTTACTTTGTTTTTTTTCTCTTTCCATATTTTATCAATTTTTTTAAATTAAATAAATTATATCAATCAATAAAGACTCTTTTTTGTTTTAAAAGAAGAAAATTAATTGGAATATTAAAAAGTAATTATTATATTTAAGAATAAAAAGTAATTAGTATATTTAAGAAAAAAAGTATGATTTAATTTATTTATAAAGTGATCAATTCTAAAAAAAGATTAAACAAGAAAATATGAAACAATAAATGCTTTTTAAATTTGTTATTTTATTATTACATAGATTTTTATAGATAAATAATTATCTTCCTCATATTATATTTAATCTTTTTAACAAACAATCTTATTATTCAAATTTTCAATCAAAATATTTTTCAATAGATTCTACTATTTTGATTTAAATCTATGAATTGATTATTTGATCGAATATTAAAAAATGAAATAATCTTAGAGTTTTTAAATTTATATCCTAAAAAATTATTAACAGAGGTAAAGTGAGTTTAAATGATTATTAAAACATTTATTATTGTTTGTTTAGTTTAAAGATAACTGAGAAAATTCAAAAAAAGCTACTTTAAAATAATAATACCAAAAACGCAGATAGATATTATTCCTTTTTAGTTTGAAAAAGTAAAATGGATTAAAACTAATTAAATAATATTGTCTAAGATAATGTTTAGTTAAGTATGAAATATATTTTAATTTAAATATATTTTTTTATATTTATTATTTATCATCCATTGAATCGCAAGTATCATTTAAAAAACCTTTTGATTGTATTTATTGATATATCTAATTTTAAGTATTAAATATAAAGGGAATATCTTATCAAGATAGATTTATAGATTTTCTTTTATATGTAATAAAAATGAAATTATTTTTCAAAATTATTAAAACATATTTATTTTTTAGCAAGTTTTAATTTTAAGTTTAGATATTTTAAATTTATTTTTGCTAACTAAATAGATCTTAAAATCAATCTAACATAATATTATTATTACTTTAAATCTTTATTAAAAGTTTGTGATATTATTTATTTATAATAATATTAATTTCTATTAAATGATTGGTATTATTATAGTTTTTGAATTTATATTTCCTAATTAGTGTCTTTAAAAATATTTTTAATAAAAATTGTTATTGTAAATTAGCCATCAAATATAAAAAGATAAAATAATTTTTTATTGCTTTGTTTAAAACAGTAATATAATATATACTAACTAATTATATCTAATATATTTAATTTTTAGTAATTAAATAAATATTATTGAATCAAGATTCTTTCAAATTTTATTGAATATTAGTTAAGTAAATTTAATCAAAAAATAAAATAAATAATGTAGACTAAAAACTATTTTTTTATTTTAACTGCTTTTTTATAATTTTTAAGATAAAAATGGTAAATTAATATTTTTATGTTGAATAATTTAGTATTGCTTTTTAAAATTATTTAATTAATTGAAAATAATTTAACTAAGTAATTCATTTTATTTAAATAAATAAATAAAAATAATTTCAAATTATTTATGTAATAACAAATAATGATCAATAATTAAATAAAATATTAATTTAAGCATGATTAATTAATATGTAGATTAGTTAAAAAACACTTAATTATATGTTTTAATTTTAAATATTCATTTTTGAATGAAAAATAATTTGTGATTATTCCTTATGTATCACTCTTATTTTTTTGATAAAAAAAGGGCAATTCCTCACTGCTATTTTATTAAATTTAAAATTCAATAAATTTATTTTAGTAATGTCTAAAAAATTATAAACATGTTATAATTCAATTTTTTATCCTCACATAATAAATGAGATTAAAAATATTTAATTTTAAAAGAAAAAAATTGGTTTCCATTCAAATGGATTATATATAGAAGTACCACATGCATTTAGACATTTTTTTTGATTAAGCTCACATATTTTGATTAAATTCATCTACAACTTAAATATGAGTTATTATTATTTTATGAACCTAATAATGTAGTTCAACTGCAAACCTGTACTATGTGTTATCTAAAATATCCTAATTATTTTTTAACTCTGCTACATTTTCATAATTTGGATAATTTGCTACTTTGAACATTTTCTATGCTAAGTGGATCCTCACTTCTATTTCTTTATCGATATTTGTTTTTTTTCCTTCAAATACATCTTTTCCTTTTACTATCTTTGTTATTGTATTATTAACTCCTGTCTCATTATAACATATTGTATTATATAATTTTTAATTATCTTTATCTTGTTCTTTGATAATTCCTATTACTAAAAAGCTATCATTCTAAGAATTTGTTTATAGTTTAACTCTAAATATATACTTCTAGTTTGGATCCAAGATAAAATTTGCATATGAAACACCATGAGCATCACTAATTGATTAAGTTATTTAGATTTATCTATTTTACAATCTTTATATTTATAAATTTTATGAAGAACCATATGATTTAGATTTTTCAAATTCTATGTTACTAATAATATTAAAAAAGTCTATTTTATCAATTAAATTTAGTATTTTTTATTAAATTAAATTTGGAATTGTTAAATCAACTTTGCTTATGATTTTTTAATATTCTGTAATACTTTTTTATAATTTATCAGTATTTTCCTTAATATTTTAGTATTTTTATTGAATTATTTCTTTTATGCGTTATTCAGAATCTTATTATTAATCTTTTAATTATTATTAAATATCAAACTTAGATGATAATTCGTTGTAAATATCTAAAAATGTGTTTCCTTAATTTTTGTTTATATACATTTCAATAAGTTTTTGCTCAACATCAATTTGAAGTTAATCTATTTTTTGTTTGATTTAGTTTCTCAGATTTATGAAATAATCATTTATTTTTTTTTTAAATATCTCCTTAATAGGTAAATCTTTTTTTAATTTCTAATTTTTTATATGATCATAGATTTTATCATATTCTAAAGGAGGAAAGTTTTCAAAAATATGATTTTCATCTGCTGATAAAAATTCTTTATACTCTATTATTTTACCAATTTTATTACTTTCCTTAAGTAATTTTTATGCGCTATTAATGCAAATTTTAGTGTGAATGTTAATTTCTTAAATGAATAAGTGTTTATTACTTAAGCCATGCTCAACGCATTTGCTTTTTATTTTTAAGATCTCCATATTTTATCAATTTTTTTAATTTAATAAATTATATCATTAAAGACTATTTTTTTGTTTGTTTTTAAAGAAAGAAAGAAAAATAATTAGAATATCTAAGAAAAATAAGTAATTAGTATATTTAAGAATAAATGAATATTTAATAAAATAAAATATGATTTATTATTTAAAAAAGCAAGAAAAATACAAAAAATACATTATTTTTTATTTTAAAAAACTTAAATGGATTACAACTAGTTAAATAATATATTCTCAAAGACTATGTTAAGTTAAGTATGAAATATATTTTAATTCAAATCTATTGCTTTATATTTATTATCTATCATTTATTGAAATGCAAATATCATTTAAAAGACAATTATTTGTTAAAATATCTTATTTTAAATATAAAATATAAAAGTAATATCTTTGATAGATTTTCTTTTATGTATATTAAATAAAAATAAATCAAATTATGTTTCAAAATTAATATATCCTTTGAGATTATCATGTTTTAATTTTAAATTTTGCAATTTTGTATATATATCAATTATCTTAGATTATAAATTTTTGATAACTAGATCTTAAGATCTACATTCTATCATAAAAATATGATTCTGGGTACACCGGCCCAAGCCAAAATTTTCTTCCAAAAAACCTTAAAATTTTGAAAAAATTTTGAAAGGAAAAAATTAGTTTCCATTCAAAAGGATTTTATATAGAAGTACCACATACATTTAGTTATATTTTTTTTTGATTAAGCTCACATATTTTAATTAAATTCATCAACAACTTAAATATGAGTTATTATTATTTTATGAACCTAATAATATAGTTAAATTGCAAACCTGTATTATGTGTTTTCTAAAATAAGCTAATTATTTTATAACTCTGCTATATTTTCATAATTTGGATAATTTGCTACTTTGATCATTTTCTATGCTAAGTGGATCCTCACTTCTATTTCTTTATCGATATTTGTTTTTTTTCCTTCAAATACATCTTTTCCTTTTACTACCTTTGTTATTGTATTATTATCTCCTCTCTCATTATAACATATTCTATCATGTAATTATTAATTATCTTTATCTTGTTCTTTGATAATACCTATTAATAAAAAGCTATCACTCTAAGAATTTGTTTATAGTTTAACTCTAAATATATACTTCTAGTTTGGATCCAAGATAAAATTTGCATATGAAACACCATGAGCATCACTAATTGATTAAGTTATTTAGATTTATCTATTTTATATTCTTTATATTTATACATTTTATGAAAAACCATATGATTTAGATTTTTCAAATTCTATGTTACAAATAATATTAAAAAAGTCTATTCCATCAATTAAATTTAGTATTTTTTATTAAATTAAATTTGGAATTGTAAAATCAATTTTGTTTATGATTTTTTAATATTCTGTAATATTTTTTTATAATTTATCTGTATTTTCCTTAATATTTTAGTAATTTTATTGAATTATTTCTTTTATGTGGTATTCAGAATCTTATTACTATTCTTTTAATAATTATTAAATATCAAACTTAGATGATATTTCGTTGTAAATATCTAAAAAGATGTCTCCTTAATTCTTGTTTAAATCTTCCATTTAAATGAGTTTTTACTTAACTTGATTGTGAAGTAAATCTATTTTTTGATTTATTTATTTTTTCAGATTTATGAAATAATCATTAATTTTTTCAACAAACATCTCCTAAATAGAATTACCTTTTTAAATTCTTAAATTTTTAATAATTTTATAGATTTTTTTATCTTCTAAAGGAGGAAAGCTTGAGAAAATATGATTTTAATCTGCATGTAAAAATTCATCATGATCTATTATTTTATGAGTAAACTCAGTTAATTCTTTTGCGCAGTTAAAACAAATTTTAGTGTGAATATTATCTTCTTCAAATAATAAAAAATTATTATTGAAGTTTGGATGAATATTGCATTTACTTTGTTTTTTTTCTTGATCCATATTTTATCAATTTTTTTTAATTTAATAAATTATATCAAAAAAAAGACTTTTCTTTCGTTTTTAAAGGAAAAATAAAAAGTAATTAGAATATTTAAGAAAGAAAAGTAATTAGAATATTTAAGAAAATAAAATATCATTTATTTTATTTAAAAAGTGATTAATTTTATTAAAGAGAAAGCAAGAAAATATGAAATTATGAATGCTTTTTACATTTATTATTTAATATTAAATAGATAAACTATTATTTTCCTCAAATTATATTTAACCTTTTTACAATCTTTTGTGAGAACATTCATTATTTAAATATTCAAAATATATTTCATTAAATTTCTAATTTTTTGATTTATAACTATGAACTAATATTTTGATCGAAGATTAAAAAATAAAATAATCTTAGAATTTTTAAACTAATGTCGTATAAAATAATTAACAGATGTAAAATGAATTTAAAAGATATTAAAATATTTATTATTGTTAGTTTATTTTAAAGATAACTGAATAAATTAATTCATCAAAAGGTACTTTAACAAGAAAAATACCAAAAAGGCAAATTTTATTATTATTTTTTTAAAAAAGTAAAATGGATTCCAACTAGTTAAATAATCTTTCAAAAAGCTATGTTTAGTAAAGTACAAAATATATTTTTATTCTAATATATTGCTTTATATTTATTATCTATCATTTATTGAGATACAAATATCATTTAAAAAACAATTCTTTGCATTTATTAAAAAATCTAATTTTAAGTGTTAGAAATAAAAGAAATATCTTTTATAAATTTAGGTTAGATGGTTTTAATTTTAAGTTTTCATATTTTTTATATCAATTATCTTATATCAAATATTTAAAAATTTTGTTAAAATAGATATTAAGATCTAACCTAATATTATTATTATTTTAATGTCTTTATTATAAAATCTGTGATATTATTTATTTAAAAATATTAATTTTTATTAAATTTTTGATATTATAAAATATTTTTAATTGAATTTCTGCTTTCTTAGAAGCTAATTTAAAAATATTATTAATAAAATTATAACTGTAAATTAGTTATCAAATATAGAAATATTTTTAATTTTGTATTATGTATCTTTAAAGAAGTTATTAATTTTAGTTAAGTAAATTTAATCATAAAATATAATTAGCAAAGTAACTTTAAAACAATTATTTTTTTAGGGCAATCATTTAAAATTATATTTTTTATGTAGAATAATTTAAAAGGTAAAATTCTTTTTTAAAACAAAAATAGTTTAACCTGGTAATTAATTTTTTTAAAATAATAAAATAAAAATGATTTCAGTTTTATGTAATAAAAAATAACATAAATTAAATAAAATATTCATATAAGCAGGATTAATATGTATAATTAAAGAATAAAATATATACTTCAATTTTATTACTAGTTTTGCTAATCACTAAATATTTTAAAGATAGATTAAGTTTTATTTCTATTATTTTTTGGTGGTTAGAAACCGTTTGAAGGTATTTAAATGCTTCTGCTTGATCTGAAAGATTAAATTTTTAAGCTTTTTAAAATTTGATTTTCTTCTCACTGCTATATATGGCTGATGCATTTGAAGATTATTTATTTAAAAATAAATAATTTTATAATAGAATTTAATTAATTAATAATATTAATAATTTTAATTAAAATCAATCTTTATGATTTTTCTATTAATTTTTTTATTTTAATAAAAATAAAATTTCTTTTTTCCTAAAAATTTCTAATTTTATTAAATTTAAAACTCATTCATTCTATATTTAAAAGATTAAACTTCTACACAATAAATAACATCAAAATATTTAAATTTGAAATAAAAAAATTAGCTTCCATTCAAATGGATTATATATAGAACTACCACATGCATTTAGATTTTTTTTTTTTGATTAAGCTCACATATTTTGATTAAATTCATCAACAACTTAAATATGAGTTATTATTATTTTATGGACACAATAATATAGTTCAACTGCAAACCTATACTATGTGTTTTCTAAAATAAGCTAATTATTTTATAACTCTGCTACATTTTCATAATTTGGATAATTTGCTACTTTGATCATTTTCTATGCTAAGTGGATCCTCACTTCTATTTCTTTATCGATATCTGGTTTTCTTCCTTCAAACACACTTTTTCCTTTTACTACCTTTGTTATTGTATTATTATTTCCTCTCTCATTATAACATATTGTATTATATAATTCTTTATTATCTTTATCTTGTTCTTTGATAATACCTATTAATAAAAAGCTATTAGGCTGAGAATTTGTTTATAGTTTAACTCTAAATATATACTTCTAGTTTGGATCCAAGATAAAATTTGCATATGAAACACCATGATGATTATCAATTGATTAAGTTATTTAGATTTATCCATTTTACAATCTTTATATTTATAAATTTTATGAAGAACCATATGATTTAGATTTTTCAAAATCTACATTATCAATATCTTTACTAAAAAAGTCTATTCCATCAATTAAATTTAGTAATTTTTATTAAATTAAATTTGGAATTATAAAATCAATTTTTGTTATGGTATTTGAATATTCTGCAATCCTTTTTTATAATTTATCAGTATTTTCCTTAATATTTTAGTATTTTTATTGAATTATTTCTTTTAAGCGTTATTCAGAATCTTATTACTATTCTTTTAACAATTATTAAATATCAAACTTAGATGATATTTCGTTGTAAATATCTAAAAAGGTGTCTCTTTAATTCTTGTCTAGATCTTCCATTTAAATAAGTTTTTGCTTAACTTGATTGTGAAGTAAATCTATTTTTTGATTGATTTATTTTTTCAGATTTATGAAATAATCATTAATTTTTTCAACAAACATCTCCTAAATAGAATTATCTTTTTAAATTTATAAATTTTATATAATTTTATAGATTTTTTTATCTTCTAAAGGAGGAAAGCCTGAGAAAATATAATTTTAATCTGCATGTAAAAATTCATCTTGATCTATAATTTTATCATTAAACTCAGTTTATTCTTTTGCACATTTAAAGCAAATTTTAGTGTGAATATTATCTTCTTCAAATAATAAAAAATTATTATTTAAGTTTGGATGAATATTGCATTTACTTTGTTTTTTTTCTTTTTCCATATTTTATCAATTTTTTTTAATTTAATAAATTATATCAAAAAAAAGTCTATTCTTTCGTTTTTAAAGGAAATAAAAACTAATTAGAATATTTAAGAAAATAGAATATGATTTATTTTAATTAAAAAGAAAGTGATCAATTTTAAAAAAGAGCAAACAAGAAAATATGAAATTCTAAATGCTTTTTACATTTATTATTTAATAATTAAATAAATAAAATATTATTTTCCTCATATCATTTAATCTTTTTAATAAAATTGTGAGGACATTAATTATTTAAATTTTCAAAATACATTTCATTAAATTTCTAATTAATATAATATACAATTATTAATAGAGGTAAAGTGAATTTAAAAGATTATTAAAATATGTATTATTGCTAGTTTATTTTAAATATGACTAAGTAAATTAATTCATCAAAAACTACGTTTGTTTACAAGAAAACTACCAAAAAAACAAATTTTATTATTTTTTATTTTAAAAAGTAAAATGGATTCCAACTAATTAAATCACAATTTAAAAAGTTATTTTTAGTTAAGTAAAAAATATATTTTAATTTAAATATATATTTTTATATTTATTATCTATAGTTTATTTAGATTCAAGCATCTCTTAAAAAACAATTCTTTGAATTAATAAAATATCTAATTTTAAGTATTAGATATAAAAGAAAAATCTTTTAAAATTTAGGTTCATTTATTTAAATAAAGTAATTTTTTATACAAATTGTCTTGGATCATAAATTTTTAATTTTTACCTAAATAGATCTAAGATCTAACATCATAATATCATTATTATTTTAACATCTTTATTAAAAAATCTATGATATTATATTTATTTAAAATTTTTTTTTTATTAAATTGTTGATATTATAAAAATATTTTTATTGAATTTCTGCTTGCTTTTAAGATTATTTAAAAAATATTATTAATAAAAATTGTAAAATTAGTCATCATATATAGAGAGATTTTTAATTTTATATTACCTTGTTTAAAAGAAAGTAAAACAATAAACATTGCATTCATACAATCTTATATATTTCTAATTAATTATTAGTGATTTAATAAATATTTTTGTTTAAGGGTTCTTTAAAGATGTTATTAAATTTAGTAAAGTAAATTTAATCATAAAATAAAATTAACAAAGTAACTTTAAAACAATTTTTTTTATAGTACAATAATTTAAAATTTAAAATTTTTATGTAGAATAATTTAAAATTCTTTTTTAAAATAAAAATAGTTTAACCTAGCAAAAAAATTTTTAAAAAGAATAAAATAAAAAAGATTTCAGTTTTATGTAATAAAAAATAAATTAAATTAAATAAAATATTCATTTAAACAGGATTAATATGTATAATTAAAGAATAAAATATATACTTCAATTTTATAACTAGTTTTGCTAATCACTAAACATTTTAAAGATAGATTAAATTTCATTTCTATTTTTTTTTGGTGTTTAGAAACCGTTTGAGGGTATTTAAATGCTTCTACTTGATCTGAAAGATTAAATTTTTAAATTTTAAATTTAGTTTTCTTCTCTCTGCTAAATACTTGGTCTTGAGTCAATTCCACTGCTATTCATTAATAGAAATTTTTAATTTGAGTTGTGATTTATCATCTTTTCAAATTATTTTGATTATTGAGTATTTTACTAAAGTTGTAATTTAGTAAGACTAGGTTACCTAAATTAGCTATACTAAGGAGTTTCTAAAGATTTTAAATTATGATTACTAAAGCAATTAGAATTTAAATTATTATTATCTTTAATAGCCTTAAATTTATATACCATAGTTTGAGAATCTAATTATTAATTCTTTAATTTTTATTTTTACTTCTATTTAAATCTTCTATATCTATCAAAATTTTACCTAATTACATTAAATAAAAAAATTTAAAAATTGTCAAATATGCTCTCTTAAAGTAAGACTCCATTTAATTAATACCATAAAAAATGTTTTGAGTGATAAATTAATTTGTGAATATTTAAAAAAACGTTTGATAGATATGATTTATAAATAGTGTTATAATAAAATAAAAATGTAGATAAATTAGAAATAAGTGATTTACTTGATTTTTTTCCATAGCAAGAATATTCTTAATGAGTTACTAGATTTGACTAATCTCTTTTTAAGGAAAGGAAGTTTTTTTATGATACATTCATATAATAGTTAATTTGATTTGACGGTTTAGTAAAATATGTTTACTACTACTATAGTAAGACTTATAATATATATAAAGAATTAAAAGAAGGCAGATATATTTTAGAGAAAGATGTTTTTTGTGCTAAATTGTAATTAATAAAGCAAAAATAGTAAGCATATCATCTAATTATACTGTTTGTCTAAGCTTTAGGATTGTTTATCCTTGTAAGGTTTTAACTTATTCAAAAACTTGTTATATATTTAAAGCAATATAATAGAAAGAAATATCTTAACTGATAAATATTCATCAGATAAAATATTCCCTAGAATAATTATTGATAACCTTAAAAATATTCTAATAAATTCCCAATAGAAATATTTAATAGAATATTCTGAGCATATGAATCCGTATTTATATGTTTAAATAGGCTCTGTAAGAGTTTTTACTTTTTATTTTATTCTCCAAAGTATGAATAATGGTAAAAATAGCATCCATATCAAAAGTTGTGGCAGTGTTAAATAAATTGTATATTTCAGGTGCTCGCTTGAGTAGCAAATTTTATTAATTTAAGATTTAATGTAATAGTTTTCACCTATTTAAATACATGACATCAATAAAACTAGTTAAGTAACAGTTCCGCTCTAAAATGAGATGAACGCAAAAGTAAAGGCTACGTAAATAAATCTTCTATGTTAGTGGTGATACATAGATTTTACAAAAAAGATGTAATAAATTAAAAATGATAAGATTAAGAATAAGAAAGGCTGAATAGAAACCCATATTCCTCTCAAGAACTCAATTGGGATTATATTTATTTAAGCTAGTAAACAATCAATCGAATTACTTTATAAATTCTAAGGGATTGCTATCATGCTAAGAGTATCAACAAAAGAAAATTTTAGAAAATTTAATTATGAATTTTATATGATTGACGTTACCTATATAAAATTTATGATGAGTTTAATATAAAATGAAACTTAATTTTATTCAGCAGCCTTCCCAATAAGAAGAAAATTTAATCTCCTTAGCGTTTAGCAAATGATTAATCTTGAAGCTTTATCAACAGCTTTTTTAACTGAGTAAAGGAAGTAAAGAGTTAAAATGAGCATTTATAATATTAGCTATAACAAAATTTCTTCATATTAATTACATGGAGTGCAAGTATATTTTTTCGAATTCCCATATCGTTAACCCCATGTTTTGCCATAGTTATCACATACCTCACATAGAGGTCCTAAAATATTTTATATATTTAAATAATGTTTTCTAAAAATGAAATAGGGTTAAAAGTTTAAACAAACAAATATTAAGTTGAAAAAACTTCATTAAATTAAATAAAAATAGTCAGAAAACTTTTAAATAAATTAAAATATTTACCTATGAAACCTTAAATACAACAGTTTATTGAAGCAATTTATAATCCAAAAGAGTTTTACTAGCACTTACAGTTTTCTGGTTTATTATTACAATAAATAATCTAATCGCTGTTTTCATTTTTTCTCCAATATCCGTCTTTGACATTTATCTAGTTAAGATAGCAGCTATCAGCTAAATCAAATGGACAAGATTAGCATAGTTGATTGGAATCTTTGAGTGGTATAACTATTGAGTAACTATTATTTGCACAAGGAGAACATTCGTAAATTTACTCAGATATTTTGGAGTAAATTTCACCAATTTAACATTCTCTAAAATTAACTTGAATATCATATGAGTTACCTTATACATAGGAGTTATTTGATAAATATTTAATTATAAAAGGAGCGATAATCTTAATGCTTGACTATTAAATAGGAATACCTTATAGCTTCATTCCATTTAAGTTAAATACATTATTATTTTCTGTATTTACATAGTTAAAAGTTATTGTATCTTTAACTTCAAGTTACTGAATATTGTTTGATTACACAAGCAATTGATAGGTTTTTATTTCTTATTGAATATTTGGTGATAAATTAGTTAATTATTATGCTGTTACATTCACTGTGTTGAATTCTTCATCTAATAGATAAAATAAATTGTCTTAAAGCACTTCACCACTTCTGATGTTTTCAAACAAAAAATAATCTATTGGTTTAAAAATTCCATCTCTTTTAAACATAAGATGTGATGGAATTGAACCTATATTTTGACCATATATTAAAGCTTAATTATTTTTAAATGTGATATTTAATTGCTACTATAAATTTCTTTTATTTTTTTATTAAAAAATCTTTTAAGCAAATTTTGGGATTATTCCCAAATATCTTATTGCTCCTCCAATTGTAGCTTTATTATTACTGAATAAGCTATTTTCTATTTGAATATCTGTATTTTCAAGATATATAGCTCCACCACTGCTTTTAGCAATATTATAATTAAATTAGCTGTTATTTATATAGCTATTAGTGCCATTACTTTCTGTAAAGTTAGATAAAAGTAAACAAGAACCAGAATCATTTGTTTCATTTTCAGTGAAAATAGATGAGTCTATTTATAAACTACTTATTCCATTTGACTGAAAACAAGAAAATAATTTATTTTTATAAAAAGTTGCATTCACTATATTTGTTTAAATAATATTTTACAAAGATATCAGATAAGAATTCATGGCAATATTGATATTAAATTAGCAATCTTGCATATAAATTTAATTCAAGTTTTCAATTAAAAACACTGGTTATGTAGAGTTAAGGTCAAAAATATTCTATCGATAAATAATTTCTTTCATCACTAAAGTAGAATTTATAAACTAAATTCTACTTAATTGTTTATCAGAATATACTTGAGCTACATTTGGAACATATATCACTAAGGAATTTAAATTTTAACTAATCGTTATATTTAAGAGATTTATCTATTCACATGCGGCAATGCTAATAAAATAACTATTCTAATTTTGTCTTAAATTCTATGAATTAGACTGAATTACTGAATTATTTATTTGTATTATTTCTATCATTCTTAAATCTATCAAGCTATATAATTGGCTATTCTCAATTTAATTACCTGTAAATTACAAACCATCTATCTACAAAAGAGTTCCATAACTGAACTATAAAAGAGAAGAGTTTTCTTTGAAATAAGTTTCTTAAATTCTCATTCCAGTAATTTATATTTAGTTGAAATTTAAAATTTAAAATCCATAGAAGTTATTTGGAATATTTTCTTTAAAAATTATTAAATCATTTATGATAACATTATTTGTCTAGTTAATTTAAATTCCATAAGATATTGAACTCTGTGCAGATCCTTTTAGTTAGTAAAGGTTGCAAGATTGAAAAACAACTTTTTAGAATCCTTAAATTATGACATTATTTTTAATATATAAGTTAGCATTTTAAAAGGTGATTGAATTGTAGTAATCACTTAATCCATTGTAATTTATTCTGTCAATATATACATTTTACCCAGTTATAACTAAGGATGTAGTTAAATTAGAATTGTAAAAGGGAATAGTAAGAGCATATTTATTATTTTAAGAATTATTTGTATTAATAATTTTATTTTAGTTTATTACAAATTAGTAGCTACTCACTTTGTATTTCATGAAAGAATTTAGCAAATAAAACATATTTATTTTTTATTACATTATATACTAATTAGGATCATTAAAAGTTTAAATGCAATTGTATTACTAGTTTTATTATATTATTGGAATGTAATTAAAAACCAGCTAGTCTAATATTAAATCATATCCTACAATAGTTAGAGCATTAAATGTATTTTTATCATTTTAATTTAAATAATTTTATTATGCATAAAACAATTTAAAAAAACCTGAATTAGATTTGTAAATAATTTCCGAAGACCCTTATGATGTTAATAAATAGTTAGTAAAATTTAATTTTTATAGCTCAAGAGAGTTAGCAAAGGATATCAAAATATAATTAGAATCAATTAAATTAATATCATAAATAGTATTTTATTGATAATTTTATGTCGATATATAAATTGCATCAGTGGAAACTAAGTCATAAATTGCATAAATTAAATCTACAAAAGCAATCATATATTTTTGATCTTCATAAACTTTAAATTTAAAGTGCTGTCTAATAAAAGGTAAAAAGAATTACTAATTCTAATCTTGTATATTTGATATTAAGCATTATATACAAAGTTTGTAAATATAAATGCTGTCTTAGAGAGAAATCAATGCATTAATCTAATCAGAGTTAAGATACAATTGCAGTATTTTAGATTAATAATTTGTTGTAAATATAATATTCAATTAAATCGATTGATCATATTTAGATTTTAATAATTGAGCAATTTATAAAACTTTATTTGATGAATAAGTAAGAATGTAATAAATCTCTTGAGACGAATCCTCTTTAAAGTAAGTATTAAGTGAATTTATTTAATAAATACAAGTATGATAATTTTGGAAGTAAAATTATTATTTATTTGATAAATTTATTACAGTTAAAGAACCTGCTGATGAAGTTATTAAGCTAATTTTATTATTTACTGTTATTATATCATTTATTTCATCTTAAGTATTAAATTGCATATTTTATTATATTTATGTAAAATTAGCTTAAAAATAACATAATTGGAAAGGAGAAACAACTGCAATCAAGCTCAAAGATAAATCATTTGATAAACTGCTAGATTGTATTAGATACATTTTTAAGCTTTGAAACTTAATGGTAGAAATAATACTCGATTAAGTGCTATTATAAAATATTATTTCTGAAAAAGAAGTAAACATTAAAATTTAGTTGTTAATTTATTCAGATCTAATTATTTTTTTCCCTCTCTTCATTATCAATTTCATATTTTGATTTTGAATATCAATTCTGTATAAACTTGATTCAATTGATGACATTGCATACATAGCATTTTCATAGCTAGAATATATTTATGGCAGTAAAGATTAGTTTTTATCTATAAAATAATAATTTTCATCGAAGACAGAATATAAATCAAATACAAAATAACTTTGAGTTTTTGTGCTACTGTCTAGATTCCAAAAAGCAATCATGTTAAAGCTTGGTATAATCACTAAACCATTCAAGTTATTAATCTGATTTAACAAGTTTCCATTTGATTTACTATAAATATTTAGGATATTTGAATTTACAGTTATGAATATTCCAAGATTATCAATAGAAACTAGTGTTTGTACATTTGGACCTTATATTATGAAATTCTGTTAACTAAATATTTTGTTAAGATTAAGAAGACCAAAGTAAATCAAATTTTAAGCATCAACAAGAAATATTTCGTATGATAAAGGATTAAAATATATTTAAAGTACTGGATTAACCATAAAATTTTATGAGTAAAATAATGATAAGGATGCAAATGAATAAAAATTTATAGACCTATATTTTTTATTAGAAAATAAATTTAAATGTAAAATTAACAACTGATAAAATAATTACCCGTTTTAATCATACCAATAAAAGTAGTCTTGATCTATTTATCCTATACCGGCAAATTTTGAAAAATCAATCTAATAACTTGCTTATATCTAGGTAGGAAATATAGAAATCAGATTAAGTGTAAATGTATCTATCACCATAGTTACAATTATATTATATTTTTTACTTAAAGGACAAGAAAAATTGCAATTATTTCCTTGAATATTAAGGAGAGTAGTAAAATCCTTGGTGTCAAGGATAACATTATAAAAGTTGGAGAAAGATTAATCCATGTAAGTAATTTAAATGTACCCTTAATTGATTGGATAAAAAGTAAAGTTATTATCTGAATCTATATATATGTTTGAGCTTACCTTTAAGTAAACTTTTATAGCCTTAAATTAATACTGATTTTCAGAGTTTTTAATTATTTAGAATAAACCTATTTCTTGGCTTGTAGTTAGAGAAAATTTATTTTAATCTATTATGTCAGATAAGTAATAAGGAACATTTTCAAAATAATCTTTGAAGTTCACAGTTTGTAAAATTTATCCATTTCTGAAATCATAAATTTGAAGTGAATTAGATATCAGTAAAATCATTATACTGTAGCTTGGTATGAATTTTATAGTTTGAGAATTTGGATAGCTATAAGTGATGCTACTAATTTTTATTTAAGTTTTCTTATTCATTTTTAAAGCTACAATCTCACTAGGTAGGTTTTGGCTCATAATTTATGCTTTGTTTATTTTATAAATTTATAAATATACATTAAATACTCTCTTATTTATTTAATATTCAATAAATTAAGTCTGTTTAATATTTTATTTTTAAATTATTAAAAATCCTATATAATGAATGAATGACCTCACCCCCAATAAAAATTTTTAATAAAATAAAAAATAATTTTTAATTTTGTTAAATAAAAAATTTAATTTGTGAGATAAAAAATTTAATTAAATAGGATTTTTATATTTTGATATATAAATAAAAATAATAAATTAATTTACTTGCTATAAGCTGATTAGAAGATGGATCAATATTTATTTGAGTTATTTAATTGACAGACTTTATTTATTTAATATTTGAAAAAGATTTATCGCTATATAGAATAGTTCCATCAGATAGACCAATCACTAGTATGTTTTGTTAATTGTCGTACATTGAACAAACATAGGGTAGAGAGTAGGAAAATGGTTTATTTGCATAAGTTAGCAAGTTAAATTAAAATATTTGCTAAGCTTATTGCCAATAAATGTACTCATCGGCTTGTATAAGATTAGTAAGTATTACTTATTGTGATGCTTAAAACACTTCAGTAGACATATCACCAATTTTAATTATATGAATAGAATAAAATAAATCTGTCATAATGAATAGGCCGTAAGTAAAGAAAAATTTTGATGAGTAAAATCCTTATTTTATTAATAGGTTCTCATTGATAAATGAATAACTAGTCAAACTTATTTATCCTAGCTGAGATAAACTCTAAGGCTATAATTAAACTTCAATCACATAAATTATTTTATTGCTTTAATCATATTTTGCTTCTTAAAAACTAAATCCCTTTTAGCTAGGTATTATTTTAGCAAGTTGTATTAACTAAACATTTAATTTATCTAATTAATAAATATAAATTGCATAAACATTAATACAAGCTAACCTTTGAAGGTCAAAATCTAAAATCATGTCCAAGCATTATTAATTATTATTATTAAAAAATAATTTAACTTGTTTTATCTTTAAATCTATTTCATACAGAACTATATCTTGATAAATTAAAAAAAATTATTAAATTTAAAATATTTTTTTTATTTTTTGAAAGAAAATAATTAATTTAAATGTTTAAAAGTTGCATTAATATTTGTATTTTTTTTAATAAGAAATTTCATTTAAAATAAATGAATAAATAAATTACTTTGTTATTAAGATCCTCCAATATATAAAGCATTGTTACTGAGATTCTCAAAGAATACAACTTATTAATAATCAATATTTGGAACTGGTAAGAAAAGAATCACTTCTAAAGTATAGTAGCTAAGAAGAGTTGTGTATTATTTATCAGTTATTACTATTAAATCATATTATTTGTAGACTAGAGTTTACAAATTTATTGAGTTTCTTTAAGAAAGTATCCTCATTTATTTCTGTATAGAAAGGTTTGTTAAATCTAGCATTGCAACTCCTGCATAATGAGACAAAACAACTAAGTCTTACTAGTGATAAATGTTCAAAGGGCTTGTTACTAGATTTAAATTATAAGGAAGAATTTAGCAGCTTAAATCGTTAATTATTTAGTTTTAGGATAGCGAATAAATGATTATGCCTTTTGTACTTTCTTTTAATGAATAGTAAATAGAATCATTTAGTATTTCAAACCAAGAAATTGAATAGAAAGTAAAAGACTCTATGTAACTTAACTAACGATTAATAATATCAATCTTAACAAAAAAACCTTAATCAGTTGACGCGATATAAATTTATTAATTAATCTATCTGATCTAGTTAATTTATACGTAACTCTAATTAAAGTAAGGGTTAGAATGCGTAATTTAATAATTTCCTTACTAACTTTAATTACTTAACATTACTTAAATTGTATTTTTCATGCTACATATAAAAAATATTTGTTCTTTTTCAAAGAAAAACACATTTTAACTTTATATTTCTAATGGGATATCTATTTATTACAGCTTAGGTTGCTCTATTATGCTAAAATCAATTTAAAAATATACCGACTGAGATTGGCTAAACAAAAATATAGATGTTCCATTCTGAGCTAATTAGGATTAACTAATATTCTAGATATGGTCTGAAATACTAAAAATTTCTATTTTTCCTTATATCAAATTTGTGGCTGCATATTTACCATTATCGAAAAGAAACACATATTTATTATTTATTTCCACTTCAATAATTTAAATAAGCTGCAAATTTGGAGTCTGTAGAGATGAGATTACTTTCTTATTTTGGAGACTGTACACATTTATCTATATGTTAAAATATTTTATAATATCAACAAATGACTTTTAAATTTATATTTACCGTTGATTATTGAGTGTCATAATACATGAATAAATCAAATGTAGAACTAAATAATACTTATTAATCAATTTTTCCACCTGTATGAGTACAATTATAAACATTCAAGATATTTGAGCTTAATGCATCAAATAAAATGATATCACCTTGAACATTTACTGAATATATAGTTGAATTACTTATCTAAATGTAAATTAAACTGTTTCTATGGCCTTAAAACACCTGGATATTATCTGTATTTTGTAACTCAGTTGACATTATGAAATAGTCATCAGAAATGGTAAAGATTAATTACAAATCTGTATTCAATTAGAATTACTTTATAAAGTTGTTAAAACATTATTGCTTATAAACAGTCTAACTTTGGCAAAGTTATCCAAAGCATACTTATGAGTAAATTAAAACAAGAAAAAACTTAAAATTCTTTAGTAGCAACATTTAATTGTTTTTATTATTCTTCAAAATATTATTACTAATGATAATGTTCTTGATATTTATTTTCTCTATTTGTTTGATGAATTAGTAGTTTATTAATTAAAAAATATGAAATTAAAAAGAAGAAAATCTAAATTAAATTTTCCTCAATAATAAATAGCCAGATATATTTACTTCCAATATTTATTTTTAAATAGATGGAAATAAAGTTAAATCTAAATCCTTCTCAATATTGATTGATTATTTTTAAGCTCTTTAGTACTTTTTAATATGTTAATACTTGTCATAAAATTAAAAATTAAAATTTTTATTCAATACTTGGATCATTTACTTTCAAAAATATTTATTGATCTCTTTTCTATTAAAATTTTAAATAAAATTATTAGCTGCCATTTTTTAAGTTTGTTTTTTTTTTGAAAACTTATGATCCAATTAATTTCATTTCTTCATATGTTAACTACAAAAGCAAACTAAATAATCAAATTTGAATATATCAATAGTTAAAATAAAATTTTTTTTAATATAAATCTCTAAATTTATATTTTATCACCTTTTTTTGTATAAAATATATTTATATGTATCTCTATTAGAGTTGAGTTTTCTATATAATTCATTTAAGATAAATTTAAAGTTTTAATGTTTATAATTATTTAATCATTTTTGTTTACCATTTTAAATATGGAAAGAAATTTATAAATTAAATAGCTGATACTGCTCTAATTAATGAAAAGTATAACATATCTTTTTCATAGTTAATTATTTTCAATAAAATTTTTTTAATACTTGTGCTAAATAAATTATGCTAATCTTTGGTTCTATGAATGAATAATTGACATAATTATATTAATTCAAATTATGTAAAAATTATTTTAAGGTAAATCGAGATTACTAATAAAATAAACTTAAAATAATTAAAAATTATAAAACATAAAATCTCCATAAAAATAATAGTATATCTTAAAAGTATAACTATTTAAATTTAATTATTATTTTAGTTAAAATTTAGACTATTCAAAAATAAAATTAATTATTTATAAAGAGAAAAATTGCAGTATATACTATAAAAATAATTCGTTCTCACATATTCTTAATAAAAAAATTTAAATTTGTGATTTGCCTCTCTTTTTCTGATTTTTAAAAGTTATGTGACCAAATAATATATTGATCAGATTTTCTTTCTTAGAGGTAATTGTTTTTTTTTATCTGGGCAACAACTGGAATTAGGATATAATAAATTTAAAATCAATAAATAATTAAATTAAAAATAATAAAGGTAAACAAACAAATAGTTTTTTGTGTTTAAATCAAGAAAAAAATTAGTATACAATCTTTAAATTTTAAACAAGTTTTATTCACCATAGTAAATAATGGAAATCACTAATTCTAAAGAATACTTTAATAATATTGAAGAGCTTCTGAATGACGCTTCATTATCATCTCATAAATAGATTTAAATTTCTTTATATGAAAAGCTTGGAAGAAACGATTTCAAAAATATGTGCAAAGCATTAGAGAATTGTATTAATCTCTTATCTCTAAATATTAATATAGGAAAGTTATAAATTGGAAATTAAGGTATGAGATTTTTGTTTTCTAGCTTAATTAAATGCCCAAATATCTCAACTTTAAGCCTCATTTTACCATAAAATTAAATTTGTGATAGTGGAGCATCACACTTAGAATCTGCTTTAGGGAATATTAGTAAACTCTAAAATCTTACTCTTGACATTAGTAACTGTAGTATACAATGCAAAGGAGCTTCAGCTTTAGCATCTGGTTTATCAAGATGTTAAAATATCTATTTACTTAAGCTTAACATCAGTTATAATTAGATTGGATCATAAGGTATGTCAAAATTAAGCTCTGCTTTAGAAAATTGCAAATAACTTTCAATTTTTGAAATTAATTTAAATTATACTAATATTGGCGATAAGGGAGTTTCAGCTTTAGGTTCTGCTTTGGCAAAATACACTTCTCTCTCTTTTTTTTAAATTTAACTTTGGAACATTCAAAAAGTCCTTGGATCTGAGGGCGTTTCAAATTTAGGTATTGGTCTGTCATAATGCAAAAATCTCTAAACTTTGAAAATTGATTTATATGACAATGAAATTGATGGATAAGGGGCATCAAGTTTAGTTTATGGTTTAAAAAAGTTAAATCAACTATAAAATTTGAGTCTTAATCTTAGTAGAAATAAAATTGGAAATAACGGATAGATTGACATCTTCTCTCCTTTATAAAGTTGCATTTTTCTTTAAACTTTTGATGTTGATCTTAGAGGTAACGAATTTAGTAGCGAGGATTTAATAGCTTTAAGTTCTACTCTAAAAATCTGTAATAATTTATCAACTTTATCACTTATCATAAGTAGTGTTTATATCACAGGCTATGGTTTGTAAGGATTAGCTTTTGGTATAGAAAAATGCTTTAAACTCTAACACCTTACTCTTGATCTAAGTTTTAAAAATATTAATGTTGAAGATATATAAATTTTAGGCTCTTGTATAGCAAAGTGTAGTAACTTATTAACTTTATTTCTTTAAAATATTTTTAGGTTTTAATATGATGAAGAAATTTCGTAAAAGTTTATTAATCTAATTTTAAAAGCAAGAAGATTGGTTGAAGGAAAAATAAATTGATTTGTGAATGTTTTAGCTAAAATTATTTGATTGACTAAATTATTTTTTATTTAAACAAAGCAAGATTAAAAATATTTGTTAATTAGATAGTTAATATATTTTTTTATTTCTTATGTGCAATTTTTAATTTAATTATGAGCTTTTAATTTACAATAATAATAACTTTTTTAAGTATATACTAGTTAGATGTATAAATTTGCATGGGTTTCTAAGTTAAGATGCCCTCTAATATAAGATAACTAATTTATTTAAAATTTATACTATTCAAAAATAAACTTCATTATTAAAAAGAAAGAAATTACAGTAAATATTAAAAAAATAATTAATTCTCATTTAATTTTAATAAAAAAATTAAAATTAGCGATTTGCCTCTCTTTTTTCTGATTTTCAAAAATTATGAAACCAAATTTATATTGATCAGATTTTCTTTCTTAGAGGTAATTGCTTTTTTTATCTGGGCAACAACTGGAATTAAGATATAATAAATTTAAAATCAATAAATAATGAAATCAAAAATAATAAAAGTAAACAAACAAATAATTTTTTGTGTTTAAATCAAGAACAAAATTAGTATAAAATCTTTAAATTTTAAACAAGCTTTATTCACCAGAGTAAATAATGGAAATCACTAATTCTAAACAGTACTTTAATAATATTGAAGAGCTTCTTAATGACGCTTCATTATCATCTTATAAATAGATTTAAATTTCTTTTTATAGGCTTGGAAGAAACGATTTCAAAAATATATGCAAAGAATTAGAGAATTGTATTAATCTCTTATCTCTAAATCTCAAAATAGGAAAATTATAAATTGGAAATTAAGGTATGAGATTTTTGTTTTCTAGCTTAATTAAATGCCCAAATATCTCAACTTTAAGCCTCATTTTACCATAAAATTAAATTTGTGATAGTGGAGCATCACAATTAGAATCTGCTTTAGGGAATATTAGTAAACTCTAAAATCTAACTCTTGACATTAGTAACTGTAGTATACAATGCAAAGGAGCCTCAGCTTTAGCATCTGGTTTATCAAGATGTTAAAATATCTATTTACTTAAGCTTAACATCAGTAATAATTAGATTGGATCATAAGGTATGTCAAAATTAAGCTCTGCCTTAGAAAATTGCAAATAGCTTTCAATTTTAGAACTTAATTTAAATTCTACTAATATTGGCGATAAGGGAGTTTCAGCTTTAGGTTCTGCTTTGGCAAAATACACTTCTCTCTCTTTTTTTTAAATTTAACTTTGGAACATTCAAAAAGTCCTTGGATCTGAGGGTCTTTCAAATTTAGGTATTGGTCTGTCACAATGCAAAATTCTCTAAACTTTGAAAATTGATTTATTTAACAATGAAATTGATGGATAAGAGGCATCAAATTTAGTTTTAGGTTTAAAAAATTTAAATCAGCTATAAAATTTGAGTCTTAATCTTAGTAGAAATAAAATTGGAAATAACGGATAGATTGACATCTTTTCTCCTTTATAAAGTTGTATTTTTCTTTCAACTTTTGATGTTGATCTTAGAGGTAACGAATTTAGTAGCGAGGATTTAATAGCTTTAAGTTCTACTCTAAAAATCTGTAATAATTTATCAACTTTATCACTTATCATAAGTAGCAATGATATCACAGACTATGGTTTGTAAGGATTAGCTTTTTGTATAGAAAAATGCTTTAAGCTCTAACACTTTACTCTTGATCTAAGTTTTAATAAAATTACTTTTGAAGGTATATAAATTCTAGGCTCTTGTATAGCAAAATTTAGTCACTTATTAACTTTTTTTTTTCTTATATTTTTTAGGTCTCTAGATTTTAAAAGTAATAAAGCATTATGGTAAAAATTTAATAATAAAATATTTAAAGCAAGAAGATTAGTTAAAAGATAAATTGGTTTGTGAATATTTTAGCTAAAATTATTTGATTGACATACTTCTTTCTTATTTAAATATAGCAAGATTAAAAGTGTTTGTTAATTTCTATCTATTAAAATATTTTTTCATTCATTTTTTTTGTAGAAAAAAAAAACATTTCAACATTATTTACTCAATACAATTAAAAATTGATTAATAAATTAAATTACTTATTATTAATTAATTTGTTTGAAATTTATTCATCTTTCTTTTATCTTTCTCTTCATTTAAACAATTTAGTAATTTAAATTATAAACTTGAAATGCTTTTGAAAATTTATTGATTAAAAAGTCATATATTTTTTAATGATAACTTCATTTTTAAAAAGATCTAGCAGAACACTCATAGAAAAATAATTTTTGAGAATATGTTATGGAATTTTATAGATTTTAAAATGGTGGAGTGAATATTTTTGCAAAACACTAATTAATAAATAAAACAGCTTTTAATGAAAAATACAATAAGTAATAATAAAAATATATTTTGGAATTCAATGATTTGATACCCAGATTAGTTTAAACTAAATAATTGTATTCAATAATTATTTGGATTTTAATACTAGTTTAAATGAAAATATGAATAAAACTAAAACTTTAAATTCTTATTTGTTAAATTGAGTTCAACTTTAATTTTATTGATAAATTGTTCAATTCTAATCAAAATCATTTGGACATGGTCCTTTTGCAAATGAAATAGCTCCTGTTATGCAAGCATTGCATGCGTTTCCGAATGTGAATTGACAGATTCCAGTAGCACACTTAACTGTAGCACAAACAGGGTTATAAAGCATTGGGCACATCACTCTGATGTTAGCTTTAGGAGGGCATTAGTCTTAAGCCATAGCTAAAGCTAAAATAACAAAGATTGCAATAATAAATTTGTTCATTTTTTATTTTATTAGTTTTTTTTAATATTTTGTTTTTAATTTAAAATTTTTTTATAATAATATTGATGGCAATATTTTAATTATTTATAAATAGCCCTATCAATTATTTTAAAAATTAGATAAATTTCAAGCAGAACATTATTTTTTTTTATCAAATCTGATGAGAGAAAAAATTTTTGTTGACTTACTTTTCATCACATAAATTTAAATATCCAATTCAAATTTTTTACATCTATTAGGCATTATTTTTGAATATTTTAAGAGCACAAAAAAAATAATCAATATAAAAATTAGAACTTCGAAAATTATTCTCCATAAAAATTCATTTTTTTAACTTTATTAAGCACTAAATATATCTAATGTACATTTCTATTAAGTTTAAAGCAAAAATTAATAAAGCAAAATTGTTTTCTTTTATTTTAAACAACAAGTAAAAATTTTAATTATTTAAATTCCACGTTCAAAAAGATAAAAAATATCAAAAGGTTAAATTTATTCATTCAGAATTATATTTTCACAAAATTTTGAAAAGGTTAACCTAATTCAAAATAGCTTGGTTAAAAATAAAATTTTTACTCATTTTATCAATAAAATACACTTTTAAAGCAAAGCACTACATTTTAGATATGAAAATATTCATAATAATTGATTAATTAATTGAAAAAAACTCTAGTATTTTTATGAGTGAAACAAAAACTGAATATAGATAGTAAGAAAGATAGATCTATCATAAATAAAATTATATTTAATTTGAGTTGATATAATTTAATTAATGTTAATATTCTACCTAAAACTAGTTAAATTATACTGATTAAGGTTTTATAAAAGTCTAGATTTGAAATAGAATAGCCTATGATTTGTAGATTCTTTTTTTAAAACTCATTATTTTTAAAAAATATACATTCTTTGTTTTGTTTATTTATAGTACAGAATTAATTAGGTGTAGTGTAATTGAACAAATTTATTTTACAATAATTATTAAAGCTCTATTTTACCATAAATTTCAACATAGAAAGATATTAATTAATTAATATATTTTGATTTCTTTTATTCATTAGATTTACTTACTAATTACCTAATCTAAATGCTTTAGTATTATATAAAAGAAATATCTAAATTGTAAATTTAGTTTTACTAAAATTTATTGAAATAAAACAGAAAACATTTTTTTTGTGAGTAAATATTTTCTTTTTTTGAATAAATAAGCTTAAAATTTACTTTTTATTCTTTTTATTTCTAAATATATTTGGATTAATGTGTAATTTTTAGGGCTTTTATTTTTTTCATATATTATTTTGCTAATAATTAGCTTTTCTAATAATTATTTAAATATGATTTTTACAAAATAATTATTTTTATCTTTTTATTTAAAACCAATCACTCTAACTTTAAAAAACATTTATTTAAATTCATTTTGAATTTTATATAGAGATTTATATTTTTTAATCTAAATTCCATTTTTCAAATTATATTTGTTAAGCAAGAGAGATTTGATATATATTCGTGAATTTTAAAGTAGTAAAAGGATAAATTATTCATAGTTTAAAATTTAAGGAAATCAAATTATTTAAAATAAAGTTTATCATATTCTTTTTAATTACCTTAAAATAAATGAAAAAATGGTAATAAACATTTAAGTTTTTATTATATAAATTCAAAGCTAAGTACTTCTAATTTATGAATTAATAAAAATCAACACCACAATTTAAAATAAAATGCTTACTTACTTCATATTTTATATAATATAAATTTATAGTTTTTCAATAGTGAAATAATCTTATATAGATTAATTGATATTTAAATAAAAACTGTTTCAATTCTCCTCATTTTTATCATTTGGACATGGACCATCAGTAAAAGAAATAACTCTTCCTACCCTACAAGCACTGCAAGAATTACCAAAAGTATGACAACATAAACCAGTAGAGCATTTAATCAAAGCACATATTGGCTTGTAATACATAGGACACTTAACTTCTAAATTTATTCCATGAGGGCATAGTTCTAACTATCCTTGAGCCAAAGTCAAAGTTAAGATAAGAGCTAATGAGATAATTAATTTATTCATTTTTTTTATTTTTTATTGATTTTATATTTTTTGGTTATAATTTATTATTATTTTGATTGATGAATATTAAAGCTTTTAAATAGAGCATATACATATTATTTCTAATTGTAAATTTGAGAAGAAAGGCAAGTCTAAATTAATTAATTATTTTTTTATTTTTGTTATCAATATAAATAATGATATAGAATAAAACTTCCTTTTCTCTCAATATTTGGCCAGCCTAATTACTATTTGTATTTTCAAATTGTTTATGATTGAAAATTTTTAAATCAAATTTACTTCTTACTTTTAATTAATCAGGAATTAGAGTATACAAATGACACTTTAACATAATAGTTACTATGATTGATAAATATGTCATTAATATAGTATAAAGTTTTGTATCGTTTTAATATTAACAAAAATTTTGATACTATTTAATAAGGATTAATTTTTAATATAAAGATTATTTTTTGAATGAGGAGGAAAAAAATCTAAAATAGATTTTTATTTTTCAATCTCCTTATTTTAGAATTAGTAAATTATTTAATTTTTATGAATTAATTAATATTTTTTTCATATCAAAAAGATAAGATATTGTTTATGTATCAATAATACTATATGTTTTTAATAATAAAAGTATTTATTGATGATCATTTTAATATTGACTAAATATATATATAAAGAGAAGTAACAACAAATAATAATAGGATTTTTACATTTTACAATATTCATCATTTTTAACATTTTATTCTTTTAATTATAGTTTCTTTTTGAATTAGAAATTCAAGTTAAAATTCTTTCATTTTTTATACTTTAAAGTAGTTTCATTTATTATATATTTTTCTTAAAGTTTATAAAACAGTAGTAATATACCTATTACTTTAATTATATGATTTTTTTGAATTGATATGCATTTTCACAAACATTCATCATAAGCATTCCTTTTTTAGTGTTTTTCACAACGTTATAAGTGGTTTCTTCTTAAATAACCTTAGATGTTACCAATTTGTAAGTATGCTAATATTGCTAGGCAAATAGCTATAATGATATAAATAATGTATATTATTCTCATTTTCTTTTTTGGTGTTTAATAATTTGATATTTGTTTTAAATAATAAATTTTATGTATTCCTACGTTTTTCTAATTTAAATTTAGGCAAAATTATCTATTTCATTGTATAGAATATAATTAATTCAATTATAATTAAATTTTCTTATCTATTTCTTTTACAAAGCTAGAATTTTTTTAATCAATCATCTAATAAGTTAAATTACTATTTATGGGATTTATATTTTAAGATAATAAGCAAAAATGTTAAAAATAAATTTGATTAGATTATTATCAAAGTATTTAACATATCTCGGTTTATTAATATTTTAGCTGTTTATTAAAATGTGTGTTCATTTTAACAATAATAAAAATTTTATAGGGGTATTAATTAGATTTAAATATTAAAATTAAAATATTTTTTAAATCCAAAGCTTAGCGTATTTAAAACTAAATTTAGTAATCATTAAGGTATGAATCTAAATTTAAAATATTTTAGTCTTTGAAGTGAGTATGTATGTGTAAAAAGCTAGAAAAAATCAACACTAAATTTAAAAATAAAAGGATAGAAAAAGTTATGAAAATATTATTTTTAAGTTATTTTAACTAAAAATATCTCTTTAAAAAAAGAATTTTTATCTGTTTATTAAATACTTTTTCTTTAAATAAAAATATTAGTTCTAGATATTTATTTACAAATAATATGTTTATCTCTCTAAAATATAATTTCTAATTAAATCTTTTATTATTATTATTATTTGATGTAAATGAACTTTAAATTGATCGATTAAAATTTCATTTTAGTTTATTTTTAAATATTTTAATATTTAAGCTAACATTTTTAGGTTATATTCTAGTTAAAAAAAATTTTTTTTATCAATTCATTTGAGCTAATCATTTTAATATAAAAGCTAAAATTTTTAAATTAAATCAAAGGTAAAATGTTTAATTTACTCATTAATTTTTTTTAAATAGGTATTAAAATAATTATCGTAAAAATATATAGTAAAACCTGTTAAACTTGGTAGGCAAACTTAGATACTAAATGAGCACTCATTAAAAAGGAAAAAAATTTTTATCCCAAATTTAACTATTTCATTATCAAATCTATCTATCTATAAACTAGGAACCTTTATATTTTGGGTAAATTTTTGGTCTTTTAGTTGCCCAGTTTAGACAGGTTTCACTGTACTATGAAACTTATAAATTAATTTTGAATAAAAAGCTAATTGGTAAATAAAAATGTTAAAAAATATTATTTCTAAAAAAACAATATTAAGAAAAACTATAATTTTATAATAAAAAATATATTTCATAATTGCAATTTGTAAGTTATTAATAGTTGATTTATTTAAATCTAAAAAATATTGAAAAATAATTCAATTTATAGAACATTATTTTAATATTCAATTTAATTATTAAATTAAAGAATGTAATATTTTTTTTACTTCTTAATTCATAGTTTCATGATTATTTTTAATAATAATAATAATCCTAAATAAATAAATGCTTTGCTGGATTGAGATCTATCAAATTAAATATAAAATAATTAATAGCCTTCATTTAAAAATAATTAGATTTAACATAAAAATTTTGTTATATTCAGAAACTAAATACTAAATTTAAATTAATATTTTTATTACCTATATATACATTTTATATTAATATATTTTTTTACTAACAAAAACTTCTTCCAACCTATCTCTTATAATATATAAATCTTTAAATATTAACCTTTATTATAACTAATCTAAAAGAGTATATTTTAATTTAAGAAAATTAAGTTAAAAATATTAAAAATAAATAATATAACTAAAATAATTAATTAATATAAGCTTATATAATATATATTTTATATTTGTGTTTATTTTTTAAATTTATATAATACTAAAAAAACAAATTGAAGTTTTAAAAATTATTGATGTTTCTTAATTTTTAAATCTGAAAAAATCCTTTGGGATGTTAATTTTTTTTTATAAAAATTATAATACAATTAATAGTTATGTTGAAAAATTGAAGCTATTTTTTAAATTATTTTTAGTTAAATAAATTGTAAAAATATTTATTTTATTTTTTATAATCATTTTAATAATGTTTTAAATATAAATTTTTAGTATTTTTTAAGGATATTTTAAGAATGTTTCCATAGTTATAATTTTTCTTATAGAACAGCTAAATTCTTTGAAATATTTATTTATACTTTCAATTAATATTTTCTATGTAATTAACTCTGATGATTCATAATAATTTATAGTACTAAAGCAAAAACTAATATATGCATGCTTTATGTTTTTATTAAATTTAAATTAGTAAATATTTGGAGATGGATATTCTTCTATTAATATTTCTAATAATATGAGTTAAAAGTAATTAAATTTTATTTTATTACTATAAGACCTATACTAAACTAAAATTACCACTTATTACCACTAAAATCAATTATGTTTTGAGATTGAGTAAAACACAATATTATTATGTTTTCTTCCTTATAATTGTATTTATTGCTCTATGAACTATTTTGTACAAAATTTCTTAAGCCTATTTATATTAAATATTTTAGTACTAGAGTTTTTTTAATTTTATGATTACAGATATTTTGCTTAGATCCATATATTTTCAAATTCAGTAAGTAATATGTATTTTATGAACAATTTCTTCAATGGCAAGTTTATGTTTTAATGCTATGGCTCAAAACCAATTCAATCAATCAAATATCGAAATAGATTAATTTTGTATAAACTTGGTGTTTTGATATTTTTTTAATTATTATTATATTATTATTGAATTCATGAAATTATAAAATTTTCTTACAAATCACAATTAATTAATTTGTTCATTTTATTCCTAAAAGCTTTAATGTATCCTATAACTAATAAGCTAAAATATATTTTTATTATAATACAATGGCTCAAAATTTACTTTGACACATTTTTACAGTTCTTAAAATTGTAATTTCATTTATAAATGCATACAAATACTTCCAAGATGTCTTATTTTTACGAAAAAATTATGTTGGAACTTAAAAAATATTGAATAAAGGTGTGTCTAGATTAGAAAATAGAGTTATAAACAATATTTAATTTAGCTAAATACCAAGAATTAATTTTGGATAAAACAATTAATCAATAAAAATTAGATTAGTGTGATTACTTTTTTAAAACCCTTAATATTTTTCAATAGAATATTTTCTCAAAATGATTTTTTTTAATTTATTACTAAATTAGAATTAAGTTTGTGTTATTAAAAGAATCTATTTTCTAGCATAAAAATTTATGTTAAATTGTGAATTAATTTTTATGATTTGTAAATGTAGCTAAATTAATCAATAAATATCTTTGTTATAAGGCTTTTGAGTTTTTCTTAATTATATTTATTAGGGATTTGCTTTACTAGACTCTAGTACATATACATACCTAAGGGGTAGGAAAGTATTTAAATGAGAAAAACAATTTAATCGCTTTTATCCTAACAATTTAAAACTAATGACTCTAAAAACCTTTACTTTTAGTTTTAAAAGTCCTCATTTAGCTCATAAAATCTAAAAAAATTTATAGAAGACTATTTTTATTAGCTTTCACTATTTTGCTTTGTATTTTAATGGAAGAAAAACCTGTATTTAATTCAATTAAAAGTTATAATCAATATATTAAGTAGTTTAAATCAAATAAATACTGTTTAAATTGAGATATGATATTTAAACCTCATAATAAATAATTAAAAAAAAACAACTTAAATTAAAAATAATATCTCAAAATGAAAGTTTCTATTTTTGCTCTCCTCGTCCTTCTAGTTTTATGTGCTTTCACTACAGTCGCTTAAGCTGCTGAATAAAAACCCAAAACAATTAAGTTATACCGTCAAGTTGAATTTGAAGTAAAATGTCTTATTGGAGAAGAAGGTTGTGATTGTTGGGATTGCACAAGCTTTAAAGAATGCAACTACACATGTTGAACAAAATTAAATTTAAATAAATTATTATTTTTACAATTAGTTTATATATGTTAAACTATATATATTTGTAAACGAAATTTTATAATATTAATTAATTCTTCACTTATAATTTCTAATTTATGATTAAAATTTATAAAATATATAATCAGATTGTTTTTTTTTTCTTATTTGTATTTAAAAT